AATCAAAAAAATTTTTTTTACCAAAGTTGTGGGTGATTGGCAATTATTTAAATTTCCTCCTCCACTAATTGAAAGTCTTCCTCCTTGTCTTCCATTTCCTTCTCTTCCCCCTCCATTTTCTTCCATTTCTAATTGTTCATTACTTCCATTACTACATATAGATTGTGCTGAACCAGTAGAATGTAAAATACGAGAAGATGAATTTGTTGTGGAAGATGAGGAATGGTTGTGGTTGTGTTGTTGTTGTAAGGCCATCATTGGCCAGATAATTGAAGCAAATTAATTAATTTATTTAAAAATAATTAAAATTGTTGGAGCAGTCTTTTAAGTAAATAAAATTGAGAAAATTGAAGATTTGTGTTTATCTTAAAAATTAAAAAAAATTATTTGGTAACGTAGAGATTAAAGAATGGAAGAGTAGGGTTGGGGTTTTCGAGTCGGGCCGACGTTCGAGTCATTTCTTTCAGACCTCATTTTTTCGAGCCGGCCCGACCAAGTCTTTTTCGGACCAAAATTCAATGCCCGACTCATTCTTTCGGATCGGGACGGATCAGGCCTCCAACCCTAAATGGGAGAGGGTCGTAAAAGAATCGAGTCCTATATCTCGAAAAAACTAAGGAGATGCTCGATAATCAAGAGTTTTGTTCGAGATTTCGTCTAGATCAGATCTCTGTGGATATAGCATTTAAATAAATAATTTTAAAATAAATAAACAATATTTTCAATTTCAATACAAAAATAATTAAAAAACGGAAAACACACAAAAACATATAATAAATTAAAAAATTAGCATTTAATAAATGCTAATTTAAAAATTTAATTTGAAACATTAGATAAAAAAATTTTTTTTTAAATTTCTACGTTTATTCCCCAATATTGTTTTTATTTTTAAAATAAAGAATTAAAAATCATTTTTAAAAAAAAAATTTAAAAATTTTTTTAAAAATAGAGAAAAAAAATATTTTTTATGTTACTTCCTAAAAATGATTTTTGATTTAATAAAAAAATTCAAATTAAAAAAAAATTAATTTTCTTGCAAAATTTAAACACAAAAATTTTTTTCCAAATCTTTTTTAAAATTTTGTTTATGTCATCAAAAATTATATGCAGGTATACAATTCATTAATTCTTTAATAAGCACAAAAAAATAATTTTTTAATAGATAATAATAAAACGGAACCAAAAAATGCTAGAAAAAACATGTTGAAAAAATATATACCGTAAATTCTCCAATAGAAGCATATCCTCCAAAAGAAGCAGGGATTGAAAAATAGAAGGCTTCTATTAGAGAATTTAAGGTAGTTAAAAAAAAATTTTTTTTAATAGTCAAAAATAGAGAATGGACTGGGGAGGTCCGTTTTTGTTCGAAATCTCGTTTCGATCCCGTCTCTAGTCAAAATACCAAAAATAATTTTTTAAGGGTAAAGAAAAATAGTAAAGAAAAATTAAAAAAAAAAGAAAAAAAATTTTTAAAAATATATTTATAATTTATTTGGATTTTATACATATTTTAAAAATTTTTGTATAAAATGGGAAAAAGTCAGAATGCCAAAAATAGAAAAAAAATTTTTTTCCTTCTTTTTTTTTAGTTCAAAAAATTAAAAAAATACTTAAAATACTCTACCATTAAAATCAAAAAAAGAATAAAAAAATTCAAAGAAAAAATTTTTTTGAGAGGATAAAATGTCATCGTGTCTAATTATAAATTTTATAGTTAATTTCAGACATTTTATCTCACACGAAAATACAAAAAAAAATTTTTTTGGTAGAAAAAAGGTAAAAAAGAGGTAGAAAGAATGACTTAAAAAATTAAACTATATTTATTTTGTTTTAATTTTTAATTAAAAAATTTTTTTGAATCCTTTAATGAATCATAATGTTAAAAAAAATTTTGTGGATTGGACCAAGCGATTAAATTAATTAAAAAAAAAATTAATTTAATTTAAAAAAAAATTTTGGGACAAAATGGCTGAATAAATACAAGTCAAATCTCGTTATGTATAAGCGAGAGCTGCCAAAGTTCTACCCATAAATTTACGTATATATCTCTATTTAATGTCCAACATCCAGGATCTCATTGGCACAAGGACATAACCAATAAACTCCAACTTAAAATTTTTTTAAATCACAAGGGCCTAGGTTTAATCGAGAATACGACTCTTATAATGTGAAAGGACCTGAGGATCTCATAAGAAAATATTCCGAAAAAAATTTTTCCAATAAAGGAAACCAGACTTAGTTCCTTCATACTCCCCAAGGGCGTAAGCATAATCTAAAACACAACTGTAACAAGATTCTAGACAAGAGACAAAACCAGGGCTGGGCGCAGTATAGTCCCATCGGAATCAACTCACTAAAATCTCAGTTTTATGTCCAACATCCACTCCCTAATCCCCGATATCCCTCCAAATCACTGATATTCCTTAAAACCGCATTTAATCATCCCATATCCCCAGATTGCAGATTGTGGCTGAGGAAATTTTTTTCAATTGCGTCCACCCCTGAACAGAACCAGTGTTGAAAAATCCCCAATAACTGAAGATTTTTTAAACTAGACTAATTCCCTTCCCCTGTCTGGCACTTAATTTAAAATAAAATTTTTTGGTTTGCAGAAATGAAAAATCTTTTTTAATCCCTTTTTTATAAGAAAAGCTATTAAAGATATTATACAAGTAGAAAAATGACGTAAACTACTAGACAGTAATACAATATTCCCTCCCAAAAAACGCATAGCAACTAAAAAAAATTTTTTTTTGCAAGAACAAAAATTAAATATACTTCCTTAATTAATAATTTAAAAAATTATTATTTTAATTACTCACGTGTTGAGGTAATTTTATATAATAGGTACATATTAAAACAGAATTAATTTATTATTTAAATCAGAATTATTAAATCAGAATTACTAATTTAAAGAATTAAAAATTAAATAAAATATCAGAATATTTAATTCTGATATTTAAAAACCAGAATTATTTAATAGCCAGAATTAATTAAAAATCAGATTATTTAAATATCAGAATTACTTAATAATCAGAATTATTCAAAAATCAGAATTATTTAAAAACCAGAATTATTTAAATATCAGAATTACTTAATAATCAGAATTATTCAAAAATCAGAATTATTTAAAAACCAGAATTATTTAAATATCAGAATTACTTAATAATCAGAATTATTCAAAAATCAGAATTATTCAAAAATCGAATTATTTAAAAATCAGAATCATTTAAAAATCAGAATTATTTAAAAATCAGAATTATTTAAATATTAGAATTATTTAAAAACCAGAATTATTCAAAAACCAGAATTATTTAAATATCAGAATTACTTAAAAATCAGAATTATTTAAATATCAGAATTACTTAATAATCAGAATTATTCAAAAATCAGAATTATTTAAAAACCAGAATTATTTAAATATCAGAATTACTTAATAATCAGAATTATTCAAAAATCAGAATTATTCAAAAATCAAATTATTTAAAAATCAGAATCATTTAAAAATCAGAATTATTTAAAAATCAGAATTATTTAAATATTAGAATTATTTAAAAACCAGAATTATTCAAAAACCAGAATTATTTAAATATCAGAATCATTTAAAATCAGAATTATTAATACTCAGAATTATTTAAAAATCAGAATTATTAATGATCAGAATTATTTAAATAGCAAAATTACTTAATAATCAAAATTATCTAAAAATCAGAATTATTCAAAAATCAGAATTATTTAAAAATCAGAATTATTTAATTATCAGAATTATTTAATCATCAGAATCATTTAAAAATCAGAATTATTCAAATATCAGAATTATCTAAAAATCAGAATTATTCAAATATCAGAATTCTGATATATAATTATTTAATAATTCTGATTATTAAATATGTAACAGAAGTAACTAAAAATAAAAAATTAAATATCAGAATATTTAATTCTGATATTTATGGAAGCAAATTTATAGGGTTTATTAGAGTCTAGGTTATTTTATAGAATTTTTAAAATATAAAAAAAAATTTTTTTTTAATTTAGCTATTATTTTTATTTAAAAAATAAAAAAATGTAGTATGTGTATTTATATTTTTATCTTTTAGCCTTTGGACTTTTTTTATTTTTGGTCTAAAATTGAGCTTTGCAATATTTTTAATGCAAACGGAAAAGCCTTCTAAAAAATAAAAAAGGGAGAGACAATATTTTTCTTTTATTATTGAGGGTAGGAGACACTTCTACAGTTTATCGCAAAAAATTTTTGTTCCAAAAAAAATTTTTCTGAAAAAATTTTCCAAGATAAAAATTTTTTTCTAAAAACTTAAAAATTGACACCGTATATTTTTTCTAAAATGGACGAGAAAATTTAATCAACTACCTAGATATAAGAGATATTGAACTAAAACAAACAGATTTTGAACTGCGCATAAATAAGCAGATCGCGGCTATGAACAAAAATATAAAAAAAAATTTTTGAGTTGCGCGGAGCGCGATTGTTGTGGTTTGCAGAATTGAAGTTGCGGAAAAAAATTATTTTTTATGATTGAGGAACAATTTAAAAAAAATTTTTCTTTTAAAAATTTTACGAATTTTATATTGAAAGTTACTAAAATTAAATTTTAAATTAAAAAAAAATTTTAAAAATGAATTAATAAAATAAAATATATAATTGTAGTAAAAATTATATACATATTTAAATACCCCAAGTCTTTAAGATTAAGACCAAAAAAATATTTAATTTTTATATTAAATTTAATTTTTTCATTTAAAAAAACCAAAATTTATATGGTCTCAATTTCCCTCTCCCTTTAATTCCTCTAATTAAATCTAAGTAGAAAAAGGGGGCGGGGCGTGTCTCTCGACATTTTAAAAAAAGGATTTAAGTAGAAAAAGAGAGAGAGATCATTTTCTTTCTTTTTTCATGTCTAGCCAGATTTGCAGAAAAAAAAATTTTTTTTGTAGAAAGTAATTAAGAAAATATTAAAAAAAATTTTTTTTATAAGCTGAGGCTAAATGGAAAAAAATTTTTTAAAGAAGCACAAAAAAAGAAGAGAGAAAATAAAGCTCATGGAAATAGAGAGAGAAAGAGCACAAAGAGCAAAGACAGCAAAAAAGACATGGCGGCGGGTGGCCGTAAGTAGAAAAAAAATGAATGATGACGACAAATGTGCACAAAAAAGTATGTATTTTAAGCAGAAGCACTCCTCCAAGTATTTTAGCATTTTAAAAAAGCTGGTAAGAGAGAAAGAGTTATTTGAGTACAAAATTGAAATGGACAAAAAGGTAACGGACAAAATGGTAATGGACAAAAAGTCACAATGATAAAATGACAAGATGTCAAGACTCAAATGTCAAGGAAGGTTGTAAGTAAGATAAAACAGAGAAGAATGGGGCCCAGACTCTAATGTCTATCTGTGGACATTAGAGTCTAGTCTAGAGAAAATTAGTCTTCTCCAAAAAAGAGAACCCCTAGGTAAAGACAGACATTTTGTCAAAAATTTGCCTTACTGGCATTTTGTCGCATAGGCATTTTGTCAAAAATTTGCCTTATTGGCATTTTGTCGCATAGACATTTTGTCGAAAATTTGACCTACTGGCATTTTGTCGCATTATGTCAAAAATTGCTCTTATAGGCATTTTGTCGTTTAGACATTATGTCAAAATTTGCCCTATTGGCATTTTGTCGCATAGACATTTTGTCCAAAAATACCCTTATTGGCATTTTGTCGCATAAGCATTATGTCGTGTAAAGAGTTAAAGGAATTTTTAATATTAGTTAGACTACATACTACAAAAACACTCTCTGCTGTTGCTGTAAAATATATGCTGCAAAAACAGCAGACAGAGAACAATAAAACAATTCTTTGAAGTATTTATATAGTATCTAAAAATGTCTTTTTTTCTTTTTCATAGAATTTTAAATTTTTTAATTTATAGTTTATTTATAGTCTAGACATTTGAGTCTAAATTTAATGCTCTGTTTGATTTTTTCAAAGAAAAAAGATTTTTTGGAAAGAAATTTTCGAAAAAATTTGAAAAAAATTAAAAAGGGAACAATACAGAACCATTAACCCACTGAAATGACAATTCACCGAAAGTACAGACAATTCACCGAAAGTACAGACAATTCACCGAAAGTACAGACAATTTACTGAAAAGACAGACAATTCGCCGAAAGGACAGACAATTCACTGAAAAGACAGACAATTCACCGAAAGGACAGACAATTCACTGAAAGGACAATTCACCGATTATCAACCTAAAAAGGTTTCAAAAAGGTCAAAAATTAGAGGGTCCATTTTTGCCCATCTCACAAAAAGGACAATATACAAAAAACAATTCACTGATGGTCAGTCTCACTGACTAGACAATTCACCTAAAAATGAGTTCAAAAATGATCAGTGAATCAGAGGTCGGAAACGGCAAAATTAAGCGTTATATAAACAAGTTGAAATATTAAATAAAGGTAAAAATAAATAAATAACCCCAAAAATAAAAAGAAAAAAGTTCCAGTCATTGACCGAATAAATAACCAAATTATTTATTTAAAAATGTGTACACACAAACACTCCTTCCCCACCTCTCCCCTCCACCCTCTCTCAACTACTACTCCTACTATTAAATCAATTATATTTCTGCACTTGTGTTTGTGTGTTTGGAAAAGAAAAAAGCAAAAATTATTATTTGAAAAATTCGATTAGGAATTTTATAAAGTAGCAAAAATAAAAAGAAAGAATAATCAATCAACTGGATTTTTGAGACTCTAATGACCTGTTGCTTATTAGAGTGCCCTTGTTTAGTGCCCTGCCCCTGTTTAGAGATACACATTTTCAGTCTATTGAAGATACCCCCTTCCCCTCTATTTAATATGCTTCTAATATTAGAGACACCTCTATTGGGTTGAGGAGTTGCCTTAGAGGCTACTCTCCCTGATCAGGGGTATGTTCAAGCTATATCCCTCTTTGTTAAGTATCCTTTTTCCCCTATACCGTGTTATGATTAAATTAGAATAATAATAATGGAGCTGATTATTCTTGAAAAAATAAAATAAAATTTAGTAGGAAAATAAATATAAAATAAAGTAATTATATAAAAACAACTGTTTTTTTTATTGTCAAAAATTTTTAAAAATAATAAAAACAAAAAGAAAAATCTTGCAAAAATATAATAAAAATAGAAGCATTATTATTTATTTTAAAGAAGGAAAAAAATATTACAGTAATTATTTATTAAAAAATTTTCTATAAATTTAATAAGCTACACTAGTGTGATGATATTTACATAAATATTTAGATTATTTATTTTTTTTTAAAAAGCAATTAAAGGATTTTTATTTTTTATTTTTTAAAATAAATGTTAAAAATGCCAAAATTTTTATAAAAATAAAAAATTAAATACAAAATTTTGTAAATAATTTTTTATTAATAGAAAAATAATCAAAAAAAAATTTAAAAAAAATTCTTAAAAATTTTAGAATTAAAAAAAATTTTTATTTATTAGTAGAGATCAGTGCCGAAACAGATTTTAAAAAGCCCCAGGTAGAGAAAATCGAAATTTTTTTTTATTTTAAATAAATCGAAAATTTCTTCCCCCTCGAAAATTTCTTTCCTGTCTACGGGTCATTATACGGTATTTAATTTTTGCACTATTTAAATCAGAGTTAATTTCAAAAAAAAATTTTTTTTTAAAAAGTTCCTTAATTTTTTCCTTAATTGCTTTAGCAAAATATAAAAATTTATTAACGTCAACAAAAATATTTTTTTTCAAACTCTATTAATTAAATCTTAACATTTACGTTAATAAAAAAGAGAAGGATTTTTAGATTTAGTACAAAAAAAAAGATAATCTCCAAGAGATTTATATATATTAAATTAAAAGGGGATTTCCCACAAAAATCTTTTTAAGCTTGGCTTAATTCTAGAAGGTGTGCGCAATAAAAAAAAAGAAAAAAAATTTTAATGAAAATTACAAACAGTAGACAGCATAAAAATATTTTTATAATTAAGTCAAAATTCCTTGTAAAATACCCCCCCCCCCCAAATACTACGTGGTGGAAAGACTAGATAGAGATCAGGGATCCTGCCAACCCGATTCACCAAAATTTGGAAAACAGAAAAAATTTTTATTGGAAACCGAAAAAATTTATCGGCAGGATCCCAAATAGACGTGTTTTTAAATTGCTTTAGCTACGTGGTGGAAGGAGTTTCCAAAAAGATATACCTTCTATTTAAGATACGGACACCCCTAATTATAAAATCCCTCTCCTCAAATACTAGATACACCTCTTTTTAAGCAACTTATTCTAAATTTGGAAGGCCTGTAGATTGGAGAGTTGCCTAAACAATACTCTCTATCTAAAATACCCATCATTATAAGACTCCGCCCTTAAGAGCAGGTATTCTAAAATAAGGTATGACTGTATTTTCTTCTTAAAAAATTTTTTAAATTAAAATTTTGACGTTTTTTTATTGCGTGCACAGTCAAAAAAATATTTAAAAAAAGATTTTCTTTTTCCTCAATTTTTAATTTTCTAACGATAAATAAAAAAATCAAAAATCCAACACTAATTAAATATTTTAATTATAAAAAAACGTTATTTTAGTAGAGTGATGGAAGAAATATTTAATAAATTTAGAGGGATTTTGGGAGTGTAAAAAAGTGAGGGGATTAAATATGAGGGAAAAAAGATTAGAGAATCCTTAAAATTTGTGCCAACTCCAGGATAAAAAAAATTTATTTTTTTTATTAATTAAATAATGGCATTTTTAGAGGGATGTCTGAAGAAAAATTTTAGAAAAAAAGAAAAAAAATTTTTTTGACGAGAAAAGAAGGGGGATTTAATTTTTAAAGTTATATAATTAAGGGGAAAAAGTAAAAAAAGCTTAAAAAAATTTTTTTTTAAATTAAAAAAAAGGAGGAATTTAAAAAGGTGTTTCTTAGATATAGAGGGATGTCTGAAGAATTAAAAAAAAATTTTTTTGAAGAGAAAAGAGTGGAATTATTTTTTAAAACGTTATAATTGAGGGGGAAAAGGGAAGAAAACTTTTAAAAATTTTAATAAAAATTAGAAAAAAAAAAGACGGAATTTAAAAAGGTGTTTCTTACCTATAGAAGGCGCAAGGCGTAAGAACTTAAGTCGCAAAAAATTTAGAAAAAAAATTTTTTTTAATTATAAAAAATTATTGAAGAAGAAAAAAAGGATAAAGATGGAAGATTTCTTTTAAATAAATTAAGGATAAAGTAGATTAAAAAATAAATTTAAAAAAATTAATTAAATATACTATATCACATGGTAATTTAGCTAAAAACTATTTAAATAAAAATGTCATATTTTAAATAAAAAAAAATTTTTTTTAATCCTTCTAATTTTAGAGACAAAGTCTTTGTACTTCAATTAAAAATACAGACTTGGAGAAAAAAATCTTCAAGTCTTTATCTTAAACATGAATCGAGACTGGATTGAGAGAGTTCTAGAACCAACTTAAAAGAAGCAAAATCAATATATCGATGACCGAGATTTTTGTTTTTACTAAAATAGGTCTCCGCCAGATCTCTAAGTAAGCCAGATCTCTAAGCCCGGAAACCCGATTTTTTTCAACCCGATTTTTTCATACGAGAGTTCGTCGAGTCGAGTCAAATAACACCAAAATTAAGCATCATTCTTGCCTGTTGGGAGAGAATGATGCTTCTGAAAATTGTGAAAATTGAAAAACCTTATCTCACCCCATAGGACAGATTTGAGCTTATTCTTCATGTCATTCGACTCAGCTCACCGAGCTCTTTCGAATAACATATAGTTTATTTGAATCGGTTTCCGGGACTTGTACCAAGATTTTCCAAATAATTATTTATTTAATTAGCCCAACATTTATGCATAAACTCTCAAAAAAAATTTTTAATTAAAAAAAATAAAAATTTTTGTACTTTAATTAAAAAAATGCACGTACATTATTTATTGCATAATTAAAGCAAAAAATTTGTAAAAAAATAAATATTACAAAAAGTTATGTTTACAAAATATTAAAAATTTTTATAAAAATTAAATATTAAAAAATATTTAAAAAAAAATAAAATTAATTTAAAAAATTGTGTACGTTTATGTAAGAGACCAAAAAATAAATTTTTTTTTAATTTTTAAAAAATAATATTCATTTACAAATAAATAAATACAGACAGATTAGCAGTAGCAGAGCTTTTATTTATTAAAAATATTTATTTTGTAAGAAATAATGTAAGATTATTAAAAAAAAATTTTTTTTAAATGCGTAAATAAATAAGCAAAAATAAAATGATAAATAAAAAATATTAAATAGAAAGCAATTTTTGCAAAAATTTCAAAAATTTTTTAAAAATATGTGCGCAAGAACAAGAATAACAACTAAAACTGTGTTAAAATACCCTCAACAATTATAAAAATCCCTAGCTTTATGGGCACGTTTTTTTTTAATTTGTTTGACTCCTTAGCAAGGTTCGATGCGCATCAACAAGCTAAATCGAACCATACAAGGGCGTCCCTAATTCGATAATTTTGTATGGCTCTTTGGTACCTTGGGCTTGCGGTTCCTTGGGGGAAAGGAATTTTTTTCAGCTCCAAAGGAAAAAAATTTTTTTTAAAAGAACCGAATCAAAATTATTCTAAATCGTATAATTATTTTAAAAATTATGGGCATATGTATTTATTTAAAGAATCACGGAAACATAATTTTTGAACGTTCAAAAAAATTATTTTTTAATAAATTAATTGTTATGTGTAAATAAATAAATTTAAAAATAGGTAAAAATAAAAGAAAGGAGAAAAAAAAGAAAAATAAAAAAAATAATTAAAAAATAATTAAATAAAAGAGAAAAAAAAATAATAAGGAAATAAAAAATTTATTTTTGCAATTTTAGTTAGCAGAAAAAAAATTAATTGAATAAAAATAAAAAAAGCACAAAATAATAACAATATAAAAATAAATTTTTGGTCTTTAAAGTTTTATATTATTTTTAAAAATTATTTTTTATATAAGCAATTTTTAATGGACGTAAAATTTTTGTTAAAAATTTTTGCAAAAAATAAAAGAAAAGAGAATATTTGTTACAAAAATTGACAAAAAATATTTTTTATTAATAGCCGGACGGTACTTTATTAATATCCCACCCCCCACTCCTATTTGAGTCTCAGATTAATTTTCCTTTTTTGCAGTCAACATCCTTTTCCTTACAAATTTTTAATAAATGACAAGTTAGAATGCCTCATTTTTAATTTTTCTCCTTCTAACTTGCCTTTTGCTTAAAATTTATGAGGGAAAGGATGATTGACAGTGAAAAAGGAAAATTAATCTGAGACTCAAATAGGGGTGGGGGTGGGATTTTAATAAAGTACCAGCCGGACCTCATTTCTAACTACATCCAATAGTGGGGAACGCGTTTTAATAGTTTAAATGACCATTGGGCCTAAGTAAGAATGTCGGTTTCACCAAATTCTTTGGTTAACCGAAACCGACCGAACCGAAAATTTTCGGTTTTCGCTGTCTAAATTAGGGTTGCTCCCCGAGCCTTCGGGGTTGAAAAAGTCGGGGGTCGGGGTTTTCGGGGTTGGGAATGTCGGGGTTTTAGGTCAAAAAATGTCGGGGTCGGGGTTAGTCGGGGTCGGGGAGCAACCCTAGTCTAAATCAATTTTTAACATCCAATGGACTCCTAATATTAAAGCTTTAAGGAATTTGTTTTAAAACTAAGGATGGGCATTGAGCGTGGTGTATGCAATATCCCCAATTCAAGATACAAAACTCATTATAGGACAAGATTTTTATGTCTCCAAGGATGTGTACCCAGAAATGAGATCCGACTATAATTTAAAAAAAATACCCCCACCTCAACGATCCACGCATTTCAAACAAGTAAAAAAAATTTTTGAACACAAAATAAGAACATATTCTTCGTCCTTTTTAAATTAAAAACATATTCTCCAACTAAATAAATAATAAATTAAGAAATTAAAAAAAATTTTTTTTAAATAAAATAAAAACATTTTTTTAAGTTTTTGGCTTTTGGAAAATTTTTTATTTTTATTTTTTATAAAATAGTAAATTAATATTAAAAAAAAATTTTTTCAACAAAAAAATTAAACAAATTGAAAAAAAAAATATAATATTTTTGGTTCTAAATAGTCTAGATTACAAGTCCAATGAACCATTATGGGTAATATTGAAGAGTACAGACCCCATTTTTTCCTCACTATTTTCCCCCCTATATTTTTACAAAACGGTCAGACTTTCTCCTTCCTTCCATCCAACTTCCCTTTCTAATTTTTGCCTAAATCAAACAAAAAGGATTATTTTTGATATTTTATTCCCCGTTTTAATAGAGAAAATGAGTTTTCTCAAAACTCATACTTGTTAAATACCAAAAAATAATCCTTTTTGTTTGACTTAGGCAAAAATTAGAAAGGAAATTGGACGGAAGGAAGGAAAAAGTCTGACCATTTTGTAAAAATATAGGGGGGAAAATAGGGAGGAAAAATTGGGGTCTGTACTCTTCAATATTACCCCATTATGCTCCAAAATTAGTCCAAATAAAAAATTATGAGCCGATTTTAAAATTAATTTGACTCATTATTGGACTCATAAAAACTAGGCTAGAGCTAAAAAAAAATTATTTTTCAAAAATTTTATTCAATTTCTCCTTCCATATTTTCTCTCTTTTCTTTTAAACGACGTTCAAAAGCTTTACGTTGTGAAGGTTTTATTCTTTAAATAATTTTAAATTAAAAGGAAATTTTTTAAACATTACTTTTCATAAGGTTCTTGTTTATCTTCCAATCTACGTTGTTGTTCACAAAGTTCTCGAAAAATTAACCATTCCTCTAAAAATTAAAAAAAAATTTTTTAGGTAAAAAAATTTAGTTTGTGTCCCGCCCTTTTTTCAAATTATTTTTCAAGAGTAAAAAAAGGTTAATAATGGTAAGACTAGAGATCGAAAATGCTAAAATCAAAAACAAATCCCTTCACCTTTTAAAATTTTTCCCAAGATTAAAAAAGGTCTATAATGGTGAAAAGGATCATAACGGTCAGATTAAAGTAAAATCGGAAAAATGCTAAAATCGAATTCGAAGCAAACACCCCTCGAAAATTATCCGGTTTTACACAAAAATGTCGGCCCAGGTTCGAATTAGAAGTATTCAAAATTATTCTATCGAACATTCGATTCGTCCGGTCTTTGGGTCCTTTCAGTTAAAAAGATTCCAACCAGAGGTGGGTCGGAATTCCGATTTCCAACGCTTTTTTCCTTGCGATTTCCGAAAAAAAATTTGATTTCCGATTTCCGACTTTTGAGACATTTCCGATTTTCGACAGTTCCGATTTCCGACCCACCTCTGTTGCCAACGCAAATTTTAAATTTAAATATATATTTTTTACCATATTCAACACCAGCAACCAAACTAGCAAATTTATTTTCTGGCGTATCAAAAATTAATTCGGGTGATGGATTTTCCTTTTTTAATTGTGGCCTTTTTGGATCAGGATAAAAATATTTTCCAGTTTTTAAAAGTAAAGAATGTCTATCAATTATTGAAAATAAATCCAAATCCATCCAACATTTACTTTTTGCTAATTCTTCACTGACAAAACCCATATGGAAATAAATGTACTTTAAATTATAAAAATTATTTCGTTGAAAAAAAAAATTTTTCTGAAATTAAAAAAAAATTTTTTAGTAATTTTTTTCCAAAAATTTTTGAAATTTTTTCTTCCAAAAAATTTTCGAAATATTTTTTTCTGAAAAAATTTTTTGAAAAATTTTAGCAATTTTTTTTTCACAAAAATTTATCAGAAAAAATTTTTTCCCAAAAAATATTCAAAAAAAAATTTTTTTTAAAGAAATTCACCTCATATTTATTTTCCAATTCTGTTGGATCCAACAAACAAATATGTGGAGTATTATTTACAATTGTTTTTAACTTGAAAAAATATTTTTAAAAATTAAATTTAAAAAAATTTTTTGCCGTTAAATAACTACTTAGACGTCCACCCCGTTATTTTATTTTATCCTTCATCCTAATTAAAATTCTGATACTTAATGTTCTGAAAGGTATTTTAAAATTCTGGTTTTAAATACTGATTTATTCTGGTCTTTAATTCTACTTTTTAATTTCTGACCTGTTCTGGCTTTAAAATTATAATCTAAAATTTCTGATTTTAAAATTCTGATTTTTAATTTAATTTTAAAATTCATAGAAGAATTTTAAAAATAAAAATTTTTTTCAGAATTAAAAAAAATTTTTACTACTCACATCCCCAGATTCAAAAAAATTGCTGATTTGTTCCAAACAAATATCCATTTTCTGAACTTCAGAACCAAATAATAATTCTGGGCATTTTTCGAATATTCTTCTTAAACCAATTCCTGAAGCTAGTCCACGTCCACTAAATAAATTAATTCGGCTTTGGATTGATTGGGGAGTTTCGTTTTCGAGTAAATCACACCATCTTAAAATTAATAATATTTAATTGTGATATTTTTAATTTCTGATTTTAAATTCTGGTTTAAAATTCTGGTTTAAAAATTAAGGTTTTAAATTCTGGTTTCAAAATTCTGACATTAAATTCTAATTATCAGTTCTGATTTTAAATTCTGGTTTTAAAATTCTGAAAATAAAATTCTGATTTTAAATTCTGATTTCAAAATTTCGATCGTAAATTCTGGTTTTAAAATTCTGATATCAAAATTGAGATTTTCATCTCTTTCTAAATTCTGATTTTCATCTCTGGTTTTAAAATTCTAGTTGAAATTCTGATTTAAAAATTAAAGCTTCAAAATTCTGATATTCAAATTCTGATTTTTAGTAGCTATTTTTGGCAAAAAATTATATTTAAAAAATCCTCCCTTACTTTGCAAACATTCTAATAGAATCCTCATAATTCATTATAAAATTCTCAACAAAAATTGTAAGCATTTTATAAATAGATTGACCATTTTTAATCATTGAACGAAAAAGTTTTTCCTCGTGTAAACAAGCATCTTCTAAAAATTCTGGTTGAATACCTTCAAAAAATAATCTTATTTTAAATTTGTTTAAGAAAAAAACAACCAAGATTTAATAATTCTTTGAAAGGATAGAGTGCTGAATTAATTGCCTAGAAAAATTTTATTTTGAATTAAAAAGTAGAAACTTGAAAGTAAATCAGAATTAAAATCAGAATTTAGAAATTAAAAATCAAACAATCAAAATTAAAAATCAGAATTTCAAAATCAGAATTTCAAAATCAGAATTTCAAAATCAGAACTTGAATATCAGAATTTCAAAATCAGAATTAAAAATCAGAATTAAAATTCAAAATTTAATATCAGAATTTCAAAATCCGAATTTTAAAATCAAAATTCAGTATCAGAATAAAAATCAGAATTTTATATCGGAATTACAAAATCAGAATTTTATATCAGAATTACAAAATCAGAATGATCAAAATTAAAAATCAGAATTATTACCAGAATCTTAAAATCTGAATTAATATCAGAATTTAATACCATTATTTGAAAATCAGAATAAATAAAAAACTCACATGTTGATCCACCCAAGGCAGTGTAAATATTTTTCCTTTAGTTTCATATTCTTCAACAATTGATTTAACTAATTCTGTAGCTGTTTCATTTAACATATCAGAATTTTTGATTGAAGTACTTGTCGCTGTTGTTAAATATCTAGCTGCTTGATTTTTATAATTATTTAAATACTTATAATTAATTAAAAATTTTCTCATTGCCATTATGAGCTCTAAAAACAATTTTTTTTTATTAAGAAAATTTTTTTAATTAAAAAAATATTTTTTTCGTTGATTAAACAAAAAATTCGAACAATCCAAAAAAATTAATTTTTAGTGAGATTTTATCAGAGAAAATTAAAATAGTGTAAAAATTAGAGATCGGTCTGGGTTTGGACCAAAGCCTGGGGATTTTGCTGTACCCAGAGTCCAGGCCCATGCATTTTTTGACCTTCCAGGGGTTTTCTTGGGCCAGGGATTTTCCTGAACTACAGGCACAGGACCCGGCCCAGGCCAATAAATGCCGGCCCAAGCCAAACCCAAAACCCAGGAACAGGCCCAGGCTGTTCAAAAATATCGATCTCTAGTATAAATGAATTCAAAAAATGATGAGAGAGAGATCATTTTTTAGTGAATTTAAATATTTTCAAAATTAAATTAAATATATAAAGCTGTCAATACATGTAGTATATGTGTGTTTTTAAATGCCACAAAAATTATAAAAAAAAATTTCTGAGATTCCTTTCAAAAAAATTAGTTTTATGGAATTCGTAATTGATAATCTCCATTTGTTGTAATGTAACGAACCCATGGAAGTGCCTGATATCCACTCTTTTCAATAATTTTTAGATAGCGGACCTTTAAAAATAATTTTTTAGTTATAAAACGAAAATTTTTTGTCCGCAAAATTTTTGCGGACAAAATTTATTAGTCCGCAAAAATTTTGCGGACAAATTTTTCATCTCGAATTTTCTGCGGGCTTTTGGAAATTTGAAGAAACTTTTTAAAAATTTATTTTGCAAAGTCCGCAAAATTTTTTTTGCGGACAAAATCTTTGTCCGCAAAAAAAATTTGCAGACGAACTTTCCCAAATTTACCCCCCGCATTTCAACAATTTATACCCCCATAATTTAAAAATTATTAAAAAAATTCAACAAAAACAAACCTGAATTCCAGATGTAGTAAAATAAGGAATTTCAAATCTAATTTTGACTGGCGGCTTTCTTTCAGCCTCTTCACTGACAACACTTGGCAATTTAAATTGTGCTCTCATTAAGTATTCTTTACCGCCTGGGAAACTTTTAATATTCCAAATAAAAGCAGTTTCTTCTGGGACGTAACGGCAATGCCCTATTGCTGCTTTAAATCGAGGAGTGTCTGCATCACGCGGTGCTGGTATAATAATTTCTACATTATTGGCTGTTGAACGACGTTTAAATTGGGATTTTGCCTTTTTAAAAATAAAAAAAATTTTTTTTAATAATTTTTAAGAATTTTGCAGACAACATTTGCGGACTTTTTATATGAAAAAAGTCCGCAAATATTGTCCGCAAATTTTTTCGTAAAAATTTGCGGACTTTTTTATATTAAAGAAAAAATCCGCAAATGTTGTCCGCAAAAATTTTTTTGAATTATTTTCCCCCAAAAAGGGTAAAATATATACCTTAATCATATATTCAATACGTGAATGTGAAAAGCGTTCAATTACCTTAAAAAATAAATAGACAACAAAACTTTTTTAATAAACTCACAGTTTCAATCCAAATCAAAGGTTTAACAACTGTGCTCAACCTATAACTCATCAACTCAAATTCTCCATCTGGTGGAACGAAGCTAATTGTACGATCATTTTCTTTTGAGAAAAAAATTTTTTTAAATATATTTTCAATAAAAATGCTGTCCACAACCGATTTTGAACTCACTCACAATCAGTCAGTTCTTTGTGATTTTTCATTAATATTTATGGAAAAATTTTTAAAAACCGAGGAAGGTAAAGTAAAAAAGTCTATCCCCCCCTAAAAAGTCTATCCCCCCCTCCCATGACTTAAAAATAAATATATGGCCTAGGCCCAAACTTGCGGATTAAATTTGCGGACAAAATTGAAATTTGCGGACAAAATTGAAATTTGCGGACAAAATTCGAAATTTGCGGACAAAATTGAAATTTGCGGACAAAATTCGAAATTTGCGGACATATTGAAAAATCTCCCAACCACAAAAGCATAGGTCAAAAAACCGCCCTACTTGAAATCCATTGCTTAATAATCGGTCGTGGACAACCTTTTAGTAAAATTTAAATAAAAATACCAAATCTTGACAGACGAACACATTGATGAAATTTAATATCTTCTAATTCAACTGTTTTGCTTCTACCTCCTTTTAAAAAAATTTTAAAAATTTAACAAATTTAAAAAAACAAACTTCCAGTATTCTCAAATTGAACTTTATCATTTAATCCTAAACGAAGTTCAGGCATTCCAGTTAGAAATACACGCATTTTAACTGAACCAATTATTTCACTTTGTAAAACAACACCATTTGCATTTGCCTAAAAATTAGTTTATTTTTTAAAATTGAGATTATTGAATTTGCGGATTGACACTTGCGGACAAAACTGTCTCTTTTCTTTTTGCTTCGCCAAATGAAAAAATTAACCAGGCGGTTAACCGGTTATGCTCAACCCTAATCTTATTAGAAGGAGAGTTTTTTCAAAATCAAAAAAAAATTCAAAAATCAGGAATCTAAAAGGGTCCAAAAAATTAAAACCGAAAACATTTTTCCAAATTTTCCGCAACAGTTCTAATTGTACGGGCCAAAAATTTTTTTTGCGGACTGACATCTGCAGACAATACAAGTTCATTGAAATTGGAATAAAAAGCACAGCATTATAGGGCTCTTTGGTACGGGGCCCTATTCCCCCTTTTTATAATCATAGGCCCTCCTCCCTTAAATAATTTCTGGCAGAAAATTTTTTTGTGATTGTCCGCAAATTTAAATCCGCAAATTTTCTCCCAATTATTAATTCTCTTAAATTTAAACTAAATTCAAATCACAAACCAGCAAATTTAACGATTCAATAACATCCAAAAATACTTCATTTTTCCTGTGTTTAATACCCTCAGAACGCCACGATACCGCATTAGTAACAGCCATTGGAGGACGTATTTGGCTCTTTTCCAATTTATATCCTTCTTGTGTTATATACCTTAAATTTAGAAAAATTAAACAGACAAATAGATAAAAGTCAACTCTCTCAATATTCTTCCTTCAGTAACTTGAGGATAACCAAAATCCATCATTTCATCTAGCAATTCATAAATTATAACAAAATTGTCTTTAACAGATTCTTCCTCAACATCTTTAAAATATTCAGAAAAAACTCCAACAAGTTTGTAAAGAAATGTTTGCATTAAAGCAACCTATATAAATAAATTTTAATTTTAAGAAATTTATGTTAAGTAAGGTTGTTGGATCCGAATCCGAAATTTTCGGTTCAGATACCAGAAATCCGAAGGTTTCCAACTATCCGACAACCTTAGTGTTAAGGGTGAACTTGCACTTATAAAAAAATTTAAAAAAATTAGGAATATCGGCAAAAAGGGTTACGCCAACTCTTCTAAAAAATTTAGAATTTTTAATTAAATAATTTGTAAAATGTCAAAAAATTGACGTTTAATTTTGCTAATATTTTGAAAATAAAAAAAAAATTTCGAAAATTTTTTTCCCCGAAATTTCTTGGAAAATTACTTGAAGAGTTTTCTTGGAATTCTTTTTGGAACTCAAAAATCAATCCCTATAAGCGCTCCCAAATATCCGCCATACAAAAAACCCCAATGCAAAAAAACTTGAAAACCTACATTAACATTATGGTCAGAAACAGCGACAACTTAATTTATTAAAAAATTATTTAAAACGAATTTTATTTAAAAATACCATAAACATTATTATATTTAATAAACACAAAAATAGCATCAGCTACATCCACAATAGGAGTCAATTTTCCTTCCTCTTCCATATCCACAAGAAAAGGAATAAATTTTTCAATAATTGTCAAGTCAACATCTCCACGATAATTTCGAGAAATTAATACCTTTTTTTAAATAAATATAAATTTTTTAACCAAAGTATTTTCGTTTTCACAGTATTACCAATACTTTTTGGACAACTTTTCTCGATAATTAAACCTAGTAGCCTGATCCTAAGACCAAGCATATTTTCACCACAATACCCGAATAAAAAATCCTGTAATTCTAGAAAACACTCGGGTATAATCCTAGTTGTTTCAAATAATAGACTGAGGCCTGCATAGAGGGTCCCGTACGAGAATTTAGAGCGTTATTTCTCAGAAAATCTCGATTCGTAATAACCGAGATAGTTGTTATAGTTCGTTTTGGTCCGATCTCTAATAAAAATGCATACTTGAAAATTCAAAATAACCAAAAACAAAACAAGAAAAATTAACTAATGTTTTGGATAAATTATTCTCGAGAAAACCAAATTAAAATTTTAAAAGGAACTTTATATACAAAAACAAAAAGAATTCAAAAACAGTGTGCAAACAATTTGGACAAAAAAAATTTAAAAGAAAATCCCAGTGCGGAGATAACTTAAAAATGCCAAAAATCCTTTAAAAATCACTCATTTCACTTTTATACTTTCTCCTCTTTTCCTCTTCCAATTCATTACGTAAACGTAAATTTTCCCTTTCCAATTCCATCACTTTTTGTTGCAATAATTGTTCTCGTTCACGACGTTTTGTTCGAGAATGTTTTGCTGCTTCATTATTTTTTGAACGTCGTTCCCAATATTTAAGTCTTTCCAATTCTGTTCGAAATTCTTTTGTTGTAGTTGTGGTTGAAGGACATTTTAGGATATTATTTTCAGTTTTTATATGATTCTGATGCTCTAATCCTTTTTCTAAATTCAGTTCTTCACCCAAATTATTATTCGTTAAGCAAGAAAAAGGTTGACGTGGTGTTCTAATTTGTCCTATATTGTTGTTGCTGTTAGTTTTTGCAAAATTAGAAAAAGATTCTGGACTTGAATTTTCATTTAATGTGTTAGTGTTATTATAATTTGAAAATGCTGTCCAACAATTGGGATAAGTTGATAAATGTTGTTGGGACAAGTTGGAGGGACCTATTAAATATTTACTAGATACTTCTACATAGAGAAATAAAAAACTTTTTAATCGAAAGAAACAGAAAGGGCTACAGGGGACTAAAAATCATAATTAATTCAGAAACATCCTCAATCTATAGACATGGATTTTAGTTAGATTTTTAAGCAAAATATTCAAAAAAAAATTTTTTTGAAGCACCTTCAATATTATTAAAACTGGAAGCTTCCGAAGCATTACTAGAAGAATGTTGTTCCCAAATATTTGACGAATTTATTGGAGAAGATAAAAATGTTGGATCACTATTACTATTTTCTGCAACAGGACAAAAAGCTAAAGCATTCGAATAAGCTAAAATTCCTTGAGATATAGCTGTAGCTGATGTATTGTTGTTATTAAAAAAGGTATTAGCAAGAGGTATATTATTAGATTGTTGTTGCTGTTGGAATAGTTGATTTGAAATATTCAACGCGTTAATGTTGAAATCCATTTGTTTTTTTAATTAATTTTAGGATATGAATAGAGGTATCACACTAGATAATTAATTAATAACAAATAAAAAATGAGATGGAATGAGTCTGGTTTTCGGCTGATAATGGGAATAAGAATATATGTGGGAAAAAGATGAAAATAAGTTTACAACTATTGAGGTCACAAAAAAATTTTAATAGGAGCTCGGATGGCACCGTCTACCGACGGTATTTTACCGGTATTTTTCTGTAATACGATACGGCAAAAAATTCCGGGCTCCAAGTTTAATTACTAAAAAATCTTCGAAATAAAATTTTGGGTTAAGCCTTAGATTGCATGAAAAAGAAAATTGATTGCATCATAAGAAAAACGGAAAGCAAAACGGAAATAAGAGAGAGGTCGCTAGCGGGCCACAAACTCTCCCTAAAAAACAAACAATATGAAAATGGTGCAACAGAAGGTAAAAAACCACAAAAAATCATCATTATTGTGACTAATGGCATTTGGCGTCGCCCACCCACCTTGTGTGTGCCAAAAAAAAATTGTACACCGAAAAAAAACAGGCGACGCCAATGTGCAAGTAAAGGAATGAACAAAAAACACAAAAGTAAAGGCTATTATTTTTCTTATTTTGTTTTTATTATTTTTTATTTTCAAGTAGCTAATAACCATGTGTTTTGGCTATATCGATTTGTCCTAGGCTTTTAATAAGTTCAATTAAAAATAAGGCTACTTTAAAAATTAAACTCAAGTTTACACTCAAGTTTTAAGGAAAATGTAAGTTTATTAAAAGAGTAAGCTCAAGTCTAAGCTTACACCTAAGTTTACTTAAAAACAAAACTTTAGAACAAACTTAAGTTTTAACACTTAAGTTTTAAAAACTTAAGCTTGTTTAGATTAAACTTAAGTTGCTTACTTAAGTTGTCACTTAAGCTTTATTAAGAAACCGAACTTAAGTTTAATAAAAACCAAACTTGAGTTTACCAACTTTTATTAAAATGATTTTCATAAACTTAAGTTTTAATAAACTCATATTCTTAAAAATTTAAGTAAACTTAGGTTTAATCTAAACAAACTTAAGTTTAATAAAAACCAACTTAAGTTTACCAACTTTTATTGAAAACATTTTCATAGACTTAAGTTTTTAATAAACTTATATTCTTAAAAACTTAAGTAAACTTAAGTTTAATAAAAACCAAACTTAAGTTTACCAACTTTTATTAAAAACATTTTCATAGACTTAAGTTTTTAATAAACTTGCATTCTTAAAAACTTAAGTTTATTTTTCTTTAATTAAAAAATCACCACCAACCTTTCCCTTCATATCCAAAAAGAAAATTGCTGAACAAGCCATTCTTTTTTTTCAACCAAATGTTGTTGAAGCCAAAAATATATTGTTGTTTTCCTTGTAATTTTATTTTTGAAAATTGTTGTTTAATTTTATTTATTTTCGTTGTTTGTCTATTAGAATATACTGAACAATTAGAAGAAATTGGAGAAGCAACAAATAATTTGACAAATGTAGGTCTTTTGAGATCTTAAAAATTTTTGACATTAAAAATTAAAAAAAAAATAAGGAGTTCCGGAGCGCGCTGAAATACCAACCACCGAAATCTGCCAAAATATAAATTACGGAAAAATACAAACACATATACACCGGGGATGTCACGGACTTTTCTGACTTTTGATGGTTACTTTTGAAAAAAAAAACTTTCGCAACTTTCCGAACTTTTCTCGACTAGAATCGAAAAATTTCAAAATTTGACCCTCTTTTCTCTTAATCCTCCTGGCCCGGACCTTTTCTCGACCCGAAACCCGATCCCAAACGTTCATCTACTAAAAAAGATAAAAATACAAAACTTAAAATTTTTTAACCTTTCAAAAATTTCCCTAAATTACAGATTTCTCAACCAAACAGTAATGATACAAACATTAATTTAATAGATGAACTTTACAAATTAATAATTCAAAAACCTTTATGCGAATCCTCTTCCACAGGTAATGATGAACACAACAATTGAGGCGGCTAGTTCAAAGCTCCTTGAACAAATCACAAAGCTAATCCTGTCCTGTTTTAAAAAAATTTAATTAAAATTAATGAATGATAAAACAAATTTAAAAAATATTTTCAAAATTAAATAAAAAATATTTTTTTGAAAAAAAAATAAAAGAAAATCATTTTATTTAATAAACAATAAAATAACAATAACAAAAATAAATTAAAATTAGAGACCGGACTGATTGTGAGAGTGTCACACACGAGAAACGAGATCTCGAAAAATTCTCGATCTCGATAACCTAGATTTTCTATCGAGATCACGTCTCAGTCCGGCCTCTAATTTAAAAAACTGCGAATTCAAATAAACCTAAAATATTATTCATCTTCATTGCTGCTATAATCACCACTTGTTTCATCATCATTATCATCATTAATAGCATCACGCGGTGCTGGTATAATAATTTCTACATTATTGGCTGTTGAACGACGTTTAAATTGGGATTTTGCCTTTTTAAAAATAAAAAAAATTTTTTTTAATAATTTTTAAGAATTTTGCAGACAACATTTGCGGACTTTTTATATGAAAAAAGTCCGCAAATATTGTCCGCAAATTTTTTCGTAAAAATTTGCGGACTTTTTTATATTAAAGAAAAAATCCGCAAATGTTGTCCGCAAAAATTTTTTTGAATTATTTTCCCCCAAAAAGGGTAAAATATATACCTTAATCATATATTCAATACGTGAATGTGAAAAGCGTTCAATTACCTTAAAAAATAAATAGACAACAAAACTTTTTTAATAAACTCACAGTTTCAATCCAAATCAAAGGTTTAACAACTGTGCTCAACCTATAACTCATCAACTCAAATTCTCCATCTGGTGGAACGAAGCTAATTGTACGATCATTTTCTTTTGAGAAAAAAATTTTTTTAAATATATTTTCAATAAAAATGCTGTCCACAACCGATTTTGAACTCACTCACAATCAGTCAGTTCTTTGTGATTTTTCATTAATATTTATGGAAAAATTTTTAAAAACCGAGGAAGGTAAAGTAAAAAAGTCTATCCCCCCCTAAAAAGTCTATCCCCCCCTCCCATGACTTAAAAATAAATATATGGCCTAGGCCCAAACTTGCGGATTAAATTTGCGGACAAAATTGAAATTTGCGGACAAAATTGAAATTTGCGGACAAAATTCGAAATTTGCGGACAAAATTGAAATTTGCGGACAAAATTCGAAATTTGCGGACATATTGAAAAATCTCCCAACCACAAAAGCATAGGTCAAAAAACCGCCCTACTTGAAATCCATTGCTTAATAATCGGTCGTGGACAACCTTTTAGTAAAATTTAAATAAAAATACCAAATCTTGACAGACGAACACATTGATGAAATTTAATATCTTCTAATTCAACTGTTTTGCTTCTACCTCCTTTTAAAAAAATTTTAAAAATTTAACAAATTTAAAAAAACAAACTTCCAGTATTCTCAAATTGAACTTTATCATTTAATCCTAAACGAAGTTCAGGCATTCCAGTTAGAAATACACGCATTTTAACTGAACCAATTATTTCACTTTGTAAAACAACACCATTTGCATTTGCCTAAAAATTAGTTTATTTTTTAAAATTGAGATTATTGAATTTGCGGATTGACACTTGCGGACAAAACTGTCTCTTTTCTTTTTGCTTCGCCAAATGAAAAAATTAACCAGGCGGTTAACCGGTTATGCTCAACCCTAATCTTATTAGAAGGAGAGTTTTTTCAAAATCAAAAAAAAATTCAAAAATCAGGAATCTAAAAGGGTCCAAAAAATTAAAACCGAAAACATTTTTCCAAATTTTCCGCAACAGTTCTAATTGTACGGGCCAAAAATTTTTTTTGCGGACTGACATCTGCAGACAATACAAGTTCATTGAAATTGGAATAAAAAGCACAGCATTATAGGGCTCTTTGGTACGGGGCCCTATTCCCCCTTTTTATAATCATAGGCCCTCCTCCCTTAAATAATTTCTGGCAGAAAATTTTTTTGTGATTGTCCGCAAATTTAAATCCGCAAATTTTCTCCCAATTATTAATTCTCTTAAATTTAAACTAAATTCAAATCACAAACCAGCAAATTTAACGATTCAATAACATCCAAAAATACTTCATTTTTCCTGTGTTTAATACCCTCAGAACGCCACGATACCGCATTAGTAACAGCCATTGGAGGACGTATTTGGCTCTTTTCCAATTTATATCCTTCTTGTGTTATATACCTTAAATTTAGAAAAATTAAACAGACAAATAGATAAAAGTCAACTCTCTCAATATTCTTCCTTCAGTAACTTGAGGATAACCAAAATCCATCATTTCATCTAGCAATTCATAAATTATAACAAAATTGTCTTTAACAGATTCTTCCTCAACATCTTTAAAATATTCAGAAAAAACTCCAACAAGTTTGTAAAGAAATGTTTGCATTAAAGCAACCTATATAAATAAATTTTAATTTTAAGAAATTTATGTTAAGTAAGGTTGTTGGATCCGAATCCGAAATTTTCGGTTCAGATACCAGAAATCCGAAGGTTTCCAACTATCCGACAACCTTAGTGTTAAGGGTGAACTTGCACTTATAAAAAAATTTAAAAAAATTAGGAATATCGGCAAAAAGGGTTACGCCAACTCTTCTAAAAAATTTAGAATTTTTAATTAAATAATTTGTAAAATGTCAAAAAATTGACGTTTAATTTTGCTAATATTTTGAAAATAAAAAAAAAATTTCGAAAATTTTTTTCCCCGAAATTTCTTGGAAAATTACTTGAAGAGTTTTCTTGGAATTCTTTTTGGAACTCAAAAATCAATCCCTATAAGCGCTCCCAAATATCCGCCATACAAAAAACCCCAATGCAAAAAAACTTGAAAACCTACATTAACATTATGGTCAGAAACAGCGACAACTTAATTTATTAAAAAATTATTTAAAACGAATTTTATTTAAAAATACCATAAACATTATTATATTTAATAAACACAAAAATAGCATCAGCTACATCCACAATAGGAGTCAATTTTCCTTCCTCTTCCATATCCACAAGAAAAGGAATAAATTTTTCAATAATTGTCAAGTCAACATCTCCACGATAATTTCGAGAAATTAATACCTTTTTTTAAATAAATATAAATTTTTTAACCAAAGTATTTTCGTTTTCACAGTATTACCAATACTTTTTGGACAACTTTTCTCGATAATTAAACCTAGTAGCCTGATCCTAAGACCAAGCATATTTTCACCACAATACCCGAATAAAAAATCCTGTAATTCTAGAAAACACTCGGGTATAATCCTAGTTGTTTCAAATAATAGACTGAGGCCTGCATAGAGGGTCCCGTACGAGAATTTAGAGCGTTATTTCTCAGAAAATCTCGATTCGTAATAACCGAGATAGTTGTTATAGAGTACGTTTTGGTCCGATCTCTAATAAAAATGCATACTTGAAAATTCAAAATAACCAAAAACAAAACAAGAAAAATTAACTAATGTTTTGGATAAATTATTCTCGAGAAAACCAAATTAAAATTTTAAAAGGAACTTTATATACAAAAACAAAAAGAATTCAAAAACAGTGTGCAAACAATTTGGACAAAAAAAATTTAAAAGAAAATCCCAGTGCGGAGATAACTTAAAAATGCCAAAAATCCTTTAAAAATCACTCATTTCACTTTTATACTTTCTCCTCTTTTCCTCTTCCAATTCATTACGTAAACGTAAATTTTCCCTTTCCAATTCCATCACTTTTTGTTGCAATAATTGTTCTCGTTCACGACGTTTTGTTCGAGAATGTTTTGCTGCTTCATTATTTTTTGAACGTCGTTCCCAATATTTAAGTCTTTCCAATTCTGTTCGAAATTCTTTTGTTGTAGTTGTGGTTGAAGGACATTTTAGGATATTATTTTCAGTTTTTATATGATTCTGATGCTCTAATCCTTTTTCTAAATTCAGTTCTTCACCCAAATTATTATTCGTTAAGCAAGAAAAAGGTTGACGTGGTGTTCTAATTTGTCCTATATTGTTGTTGCTGTTAGTTTTTGCAAAATTAGAAAAAGATTCTGGACTTGAATTTTCATTTAATGTGTTAGTGTTATTATAATTTGAAAATGCTGTCCAACAATTGGGATAAGTTGATAAATGTTGTTGGGACAAGTTGGAGGGACCTATTAAATATTTACTAGATACTTCTACATAGAGAAATAAAAAACTTTTTAATCGAAAGAAACAGAAAGGGCTACAGGGGACTAAAAATCATAATTAATTCAGAAACATCCTCAATCTATAGACATGGATTTTAGTTAGATTTTTAAGCAAAATATTCAAAAAAAAATTTTTTTGAAGCACCTTCAATATTATTAAAACTGGAAGCTTCCGAAGCATTACTAGAAGAATGTTGTTCCCAAATATTTGACGAATTTATTGGAGAAGATAAAAATGTTGGATCACTATTACTATTTTCTGCAACAGGACAAAAAGCTAAAGCATTCGAATAAGCTAAAATTCCTTGAGATATAGCTGTAGCTGATGTATTGTTGTTATTAAAAAAGGTATTAGCAAGAGGTATATTATTAGATTGTTGTTGCTGTTGGAATAGTTGATTTGAAATATTCAACGCGTTAATGTTGAAATCCATTTGTTTTTTTAATTAATTTTAGGATATGAATAGAGGTATCACACTAGATAATTAATTAATAACAAATAAAAAATGAGATGGAATGAGTCTGGTTTTCGGCTGATAATGGGAATAAGAATATATGTGGGAAAAAGATGAAAATAAGTTTACAACTATTGAGGTCACAAAAAAATTTTAATAGGAGCTCGGATGGCACCGTCTACCGACGGTATTTTACCGGTATTTTTCTGTAATACGATACGGCAAAAAATTCCGGGCTCCAAGTTTAATTACTAAAAAATCTTCGAAATAAAATTTTGGGTTAAGCCTTAGATTGCATGAAAAAGAAAATTGATTGCATCATAAGAAAAACGGAAAGCAAAACGGAAATAAGAGAGAGGTCGCTAGCGGGCCACAAACTCTCCCTAAAAAACAAACAATATGAAAATGGTGCAACAGAAGGTAAAAAACCACAAAAAATCATCATTATTGTGACTAATGGCATTTGGCGTCGCCCACCCACCTTGTGTGTGCCAAAAAAAAATTGTACACCGAAAAAAAACAGGCGACGCCAATGTGCAAGTAAAGGAATGAACAAAAAACACAAAAGTAAAGGCTATTATTTTTCTTATTTTGTTTTTATTATTTTTTATTTTCAAGTAGCTAATAACCATGTGTTTTGGCTATATCGATTTGTCCTAGGCTTTTAATAAGTTCAATTAAAAATAAGGCTACTTTAAAAATTAAACTCAAGTTTACACTCAAGTTTTAAGGAAAATGTAAGTTTATTAAAAGAGTAAGCTCAAGTCTAAGCTTACACCTAAGTTTACTTAAAAACAAAACTTTAGAACAAACTTAAGTTTTAACACTTAAGTTTTAAAAACTTAAGCTTGTTTAGATTAAACTTAAGTTGCTTACTTAAGTTGTCACTTAAGCTTTATTAAGAAACCGAACTTAAGTTTAATAAAAACCAAACTTGAGTTTACCAACTTTTATTAAAATGATTTTCATAAACTTAAGTTTTAATAAACTCATATTCTTAAAAATTTAAGTAAACTTAGGTTTAATCTAAACAAACTTAAGTTTAATAAAAACCAACTTAAGTTTACCAACTTTTATTGAAAACATTTTCATAGACTTAAGTTTTTAATAAACTTATATTCTTAAAAACTTAAGTAAACTTAAGTTTAATAAAAACCAAACTTAAGTTTACCAACTTTTATTAAAAACATTTTCATAGACTTAAGTTTTTAATAAACTTGCATTCTTAAAAACTTAAGTTTATTTTTCTTTAATTAAAAAATCACCACCAACCTTTCCCTTCATATCCAAAAAGAAAATTGCTGAACAAGCCATTCTTTTTTTTCAACCAAATGTTGTTGAAGCCAAAAATATATTGTTGTTTTCCTTGTAATTTTATTTTTGAAAATTGTTGTTTAATTTTATTTATTTTCGTTGTTTGTCTATTAGAATATACTGAACAATTAGAAGAAATTGGAGAAGCAACAAATAATTTGACAAATGTAGGTCTTTTGAGATCTTAAAAATTTTTGACATTAAAAATTAAAAAAAAAATAAGGAGTTCCGGAGCGCGCTGAAATACCAACCACCGAAATCTGCCAAAATATAAATTACGGAAAAATACAAACACATATACACCGGGGATGTCACGGACTTTTCTGACTTTTGATGGTTACTTTTGAAAAAAAAAACTTTCGCAACTTTCCGAACTTTTCTCGACTAGAATCGAAAAATTTCAAAATTTGACCCTCTTTTCTCTTAATCCTCCTGGCCCGGACCTTTTCTCGACCCGAAACCCGATCCCAAACGTTCATCTACTAAAAAAGATAAAAATACAAAACTTAAAATTTTTTAACCTTTCAAAAATTTCCCTAAATTACAGATTTCTCAACCAAACAGTAATGATACAAACATTAATTTAATAGATGAACTTTACAAATTAATAATTCAAAAACCTTTATGCGAATCCTCTTCCACAGGTAATGATGAACACAACAATTGAGGCGGCTAGTTCAAAGCTCCTTGAACAAATCACAAAGCTAATCCTGTCCTGTTTTAAAAAAATTTAATTAAAATTAATGAATGATAAAACAAATTTAAAAAATATTTTCAAAATTAAATAAAAAATATTTTTTTGAAAAAAAAATAAAAGAAAATCATTTTATTTAATAAACAATAAAATAACAATAACAAAAATAAATTAAAATTAGAGACCGGACTGATTGTGAGAGTGTCACACACGAGAAACGAGATCTCGAAAAATTCTCGATCTCGATAACCTAGATTTTCTATCGAGATCACGTCTCAGTCCGGCCTCTAATTTAAAAAACTGCGAATTCAAATAAACCTAAAATATTATTCATCTTCATTGCTGCTATAATCACCACTTGTTTCATCATCATTATCATCATTAATAGCCGCCGGTTTATTTAAATTTATTTTTCCATTCATCTTGGGTTGCTTCAGTTCTTTTGATTTTTCTTCATTTTTCTCCTCTTTTTTCCTCGCCTCTTTCTTCTCCTTTTCCACTTTCTTCTCCTTCTCCTCCTCTTCTTCATCTTTCTTCTCCTCCTCCTTCTCTTCATCATCTTCTTCTTCGCCTTCCTCTTCATTTTCCTTCATTTCTACATTTTTAATTTCTTCTTTAACATTTAATTTTTCTTCTTTAACATTTAATTTTTCTTCTTTTTTGACTGTTAAATTATTTTTATTTCCATTTTTCATCATTTCAAAAAGGCCTCCATTTCGTAAAAGTTTTTTCTGAGCTTCAATCTCTTTATCTAATATTTTTTGAAGAAGGCGAACAGCATTGCGAACATCTCTATGTAAAGGTTTCTGGACATAAATCTCTTAAAAATAAAAACGAAATTAGAAGAAAGTCTTTTGGTTCAAGTGGTGGAGCTAAAAACTATGAAAAAAATTCAGGAGAAGCTTCATATATTTATGTGAATTCTATGAGGTCCCTACCAATCAGTTATTTATTTTTGAGTACTTAATTTTAGAATAAATTCTAATTTAATTTTGGAGTTATTTTTTTCGACAGATATTAGACTTAATTTTCGGGTCTAGAATTGAAATTGACACACTCTAGTATTTTATGCATATCCATGCCAGGGATGGGTCGGGTTACCCAAAACACGGCTTAAAAAGACCCGAAACCATTCCAAGGAAAATTTTGAAAACCAAATCCGAAACCGACAAGACTTTTTTCTCAACACGACCCATCCCCGATCCATGCAGTAAATCCCACCAAGATTCCCTAAATCCGCTTCCTCCTTCAAGATTCACTAAAACCCCCAAAGATTCACTAAAACCTCCTTGTAAGATTCCCTTTCAGGAAAAAAAAATTAAAAAAAAAAAACAAAACCTAATGTAACAACTATCACATCATATAAAATATCAAAAAATTGTTTGTTTCCAATATTATTTGTCAAAAATTGAAAAAGATTAACAAGTTCAAATCTTTCAAGATTAGAAAGTGCAAGTTTAAGTTGTTGTCGAATACGAATTTGATGAAAAACGGCCACAACATATTCAAATGAATAATTTTTAATTTTTAAAAGTATAGTTGAAACAAGTTCTTGAACACGGCCTTCACGTAATAAATAATCATGATCACCAAGTTTCATCTGTGGAAAACAGAATTAATTAATAGAATCAGAAAAAAAAACTAAGAAATAATAAGTCACAAGCCTAGGTTTTTAATAAGTCTAAAATGTGACTTGGTCACCGTTCAAGAATATTGGTGGGAATTTTGAGATTATGAAACTCCATAAAAATGGCTTGGATTTTCAATTTTTATTTGAACCGGTAAGAATTTTGGGATACCAGATCTACTCTTTTACCCCAAAATCCGACCCGAGGAACCTCTTTCCTTCCTAAAATAATTAATCCTTTAAGTAGGTCTTTCAAGTTGTGTCAACTTTTTTTTCTACTCATTTAGTACCAGATCTAGCTAGCCCACATTTTTTAAAAATCCCTCTATCCACTCCTGTTGCGCCCTCCCCAACAAATTTCTCAAATCTAGATGAAAAAGATTAAAAAACCTGTTCTAACTGTCTTTCTGTTAATTTTAATTCAACTTTTTCTTGTTCACCATCCCTTTCTTTTCTAAAAATAATTAATCCTTTAGGCCTTTCTTCTGGTTCTTCTTCTTCAATATTTTCAGGTAAATCAACATCATTAGTAGTAATTGTTTCTTGTAAAACTTCTTTTGATTCATTTCGTTTCCTTTTACGTTTTCCAGATTTTGACTTTTTAATTTTTTCAACTTTTTCTTCTTCCTTTCGACTCCAAATAGCCAAATTATTATTTCCTAACCCAAAAGCAAGATGATTATCTGAATGGTCAATAGCCAAGGATTGTATTGGTGCATCCAAATGCCAAGTATGAATCAAATCGAAATTGTCCAATTTAACAATATTAACTCGCCGATCAACTGAACCACTAATTAAAAAGGTCTCATCTTTTGATAAATTGAGGGAAGTTATCTAAAAATTCATTTTTTAAAATGATAGTAAAAAAAAGAAATATTTAGTCTGGTTAGGGACTCGAATAATTTTTGAAGCCAGAAAACCCTATAATGTACGAATGGCAAGATTTGGGCTCTGGCTCACTGACAGGTTTTGACCCCCCAAAGCCCAATTTGACCGTCACAGATACAGCCCAATCCTTACATTAGTCCTTTCTCACTAAAAAGTAAATGCTCTCCAAAAGGGAAAGAAGAGCGAGGAAAGAAGTTCACCCAACTCGAATTACTCTCAAAACTTTTCCCTACTTAAAAATTAAATGCCCAAACCGTCTTCTTATGAAGTTGCAATTCCTTGACAATCTGGCCATTATTTAAATCCCAAAATTTTATTAAATTTCCACCAGCTGAAGCAAGCAAATTATTTTGTGAAGACACAAACAAAATTTTTTCGATTGGTAAACCATAATTAAATTCACGCACAAAACTGCTTCCATCTTGCCTAGTATCCCATAAATGAATTGTGTTGTCATAAGATCCTATTTTGATTTTATTAAAAAAATTATTTTTCGCTAAAATAAAAAAAACCTGTCGCCAATAAAAATTCATTGTTGGGAACAAAAGCACCCGTTCTAATAAAATCCATATGTGCCCCACAATTCCAAATTGGAGAAGCATTTTCGGTTGCCAAATCAAACAATTTTGTGTAACAATCATCAGAAAAAGAGGCCACTTTATGTCCACTAGCATCAAATTGAAATGAAAGAATTTGACTTTTGTGTGCTTTAATTGTTCGAATTGGAGTACGTAGACCTTGTTTACGAGGCTTTTCGCTATGAGTATCAAAAAATTGTAGAAAACCATTTTCTGTGGAAACACCTTTAAAATGTGATTTTTAAATATTAAATAATCAAAAAAAAAGCTATTCTGACATGGGACAAGCGAGTTAATGACATTGAACCAGTGATCTCCCAAAACAAAATTCGTTGGAGAAACTCTACCCCGCAAATGTATAAGTTTAAAACCAGTCATTACCAATGATTCAACACAACCCCACAAAATTCTTTCCCGGCTAGATGTGAATGCTTCCCAAAGAAACGCTTCCCAACGCTTAGGACAGGTTTTAAACTGGTTATTTCCAACACTTCAGTTCATAAACTAACAAAATCGCTCATTTTCGGCTAAATGTCATTCAGAAAAAATTTTAAATAAAAAAATCCAAACCTAACAAAGCGCCATCATGCCTATATTTAATCGAACATATTGAAGTTTTAAAACGAGAATAAATCGCAGACTGCTCTGTTGTGGCTGTATCGAATACAATAACCTGTAATTTAATTAGCTTAACGACATCAAATAATAAAATATTACTCTGCTCCCCCCAGCTACAGCCAATGAATAAGGAGTGGAAGGTTTGAAATCGCAACTGCAACAAGATTCTTCAAAAACAGCAGCTTCCTAAATAGAAAAAATGTACCTAAAAGAATTTCTCCGCATAAAAAAAACTCATAAGATTAGAAAATGAGACAAATCCTGGCTTAAAGCTAGGGTTATTTTACGCTTAAACTATCAAATTGCCAAGCCCAAAAAACGTAAAAATAACGGGCCATGAAGGGATCTCCAAATATTATCCAAATTTGAGGGATAAAAAAAGAACCACGATCATTTAGACCAAAAACTCTCACAAAGACATAGAAAACACACGACCCCATTCTTATTCAACCCAACGCCTATTCCATAAAAAAACCTCTAGTTTCATCCAGTATTTTTGTTCATCACTAAAACCATCTTCAGCATTCGCATCTCGTAAGGGTTGAATAGGCTTGAAATGAGTAGTCATTTTCTTTAAAAAATAAAAAAAAATAAATTTAAAAAATTATTAAATAATATTAAAGTAAAATAACAAATTGTTGACAAAATTAAAATAAATTTCATAAAAATTTTTTAAACAAAATCAAGAACAAAAAAACAATATATTAAAAATCAAAAATAAACAAAAAATTTTCAGTCAATTCAATCATTATCTTCATCCGATTCAGCAAACCTTTTTCTCTTTGCAATACCAGAATTACCTAACCTCCTAAGCATTTTTGATGCCAAATGTGTTTTTGTTATAGCTTTTTTGGAGGAAATACGAGCAAGAATTTCTTCCTTAAAAATAATTTTTAGAAAAAATAAAAGGGGGTATTTTAAATAAAAAAGTATGTTAAGTTGAGAGCCTAACACTCCAGAGGTCGAAAACTTTAAAGCCCTATAACTTTTCGATTTAGGGGTCGGACCCAAAAAAGTCAAAAATTAACAATAGGTTATCGACCATGCTCTACACGATGGTGGAAAAATAATTACAAAATTTTTGATGACAGTTTAATAGGTCCCCCGGAAAGTTCAGCACCAGGTGGCGAAAATAAATTTAAATTAAATTGACTAAGAATTAAAAGAGAAAAGAAGTGGGTTTGGTATTTCGGCGGGTTTTCCAGTTTGATATTTTGGCGATTTTCGGGAGTATGGTCCTTTAGTTTACGATTATAGACTAGTGTCAAAAAAATTTTAATTGAAAAAAAATTAAAAAACCTCAGGTTTAACTTCCGCAACTTCATTAAAAACATCCCTTCTTGTAATTTTAAGAAATTCATCTCCAACATCTTTTTCATCCTTTTCTTGTTCTTCATCTACATCAAAAGCATTACTTGATGTATCACCACCAAGCTTAACTTCATCAGCAACAGTCTTTTTCTTATTATCAGAATCTCCAACATTAATACCTCTTTTGCAAAGAAAACGAATTCTTGGAGTTAAAGGTAGACCATAAGATCTTTCAAAAATTAACAGTTAACAAAATTAACGAGTAAATGGCTTTGGTCTAATTTATGATTCCAATGAACTTTTATGTGCAATAGAGACTAGATCGGCCTGGATCTGGTTCCTAACCTTGATTTTTCTTGGATCAAGAGTCAAAGTCAAGGCAAAGATGATTCTCGAGTTCCTTTAACCTTGACTTTCCTTTGACTCAAGGTTAAAAATCTAGTCAGTGTCCTCGGTATAAATTACAAGTCCAATGAACCCTTATGTAGAGATCGTCCTGGATCTGGATCCAGACCTTGATTTTTCTTGGATCCAGAGTAAAGATCCAGGCAAAAATATTTTAAATTTCATTTAACCTTGATTTTTCCTCTGACTCAAGATAATGAATCTGATCAAGGACCTCAAATCAAATCAAAAATCAATTTTTACAAATTTCCTATCCCTCTATCAAATGAAGGGAAAAATTTTTCATTGGACCCATAAACTAGACCAGAGCCATAAATTTTCTTTTACTTTGCCAATGCCTCAAAATTGATTGAATCAACATTAAAGACTGCTTTTAATTGTGCAAAATAGACAGCACGAGCATAAGCGACAAACGCCTAAATTAAAAAATGAAATTAAAAAAAAAATAAAAAAAATTTCCTTACACTTTGTGCAAAATGTTTAACTTCAGGAAACGGAATCATTAAATTTGCCAATTTCAATTGAATAGAAAATAATTTTTGTTTTTCAACCCTGAAAATCAAAAAAATTTTTTAAATTAAAAAAACATGAAAATTTAACAACTTACTCAACTTTATTAATTGGAATTTGACGAGATTTTAACATTTCAACAAAAACATCTTCTTGATTACTTGTCAACATAAGCATTGCTTCACCACTTTTGTTCATACGTGCAGTTCTTCCAACTCTTAAAAAAATTTTTTTTTAATTTTGTTTGACTGTCAAGTGACTAAAAAACTTTAAATTTATTTATTTTTAAATATCAAGTTTTGTTTCAATAAAAATTTGAGAGGAGGAAGGGATAGTGCTTCAAAATTAAAATTTTCGAGAATTCTGAAAAATGTGGTAATTTTTTGATTTCCGGTCTTCAACAAATTAAGTTCTGAACTAATAGGACATTCCAAAAAAATAAATGATTTAATAAAAAATAATAAACATTTACGTAGGTCCGTAAAGCAGAGCCATCACAGGCTGAAAATTAACCTATCACTCACAACCCCCTAATTCCAATTTTAAAACTCTAATTTTGTTACCTATGAATATAATCATCAACAGACGGAGGACAATCCATTTGTAAAACCCAATCAAGTCCAACAAAGTCTAATCCTCTACTTGCAATATCTGTACAAATCATCGCTGCTCCTTTATTGACAATTTCATCAAAACGTTGGAAACGTTCCATTCGTTTTCCTTGTTTTAAACCTCCCCAGAGGCCTGTGAAGAAAAGGCCTGGACGTAAATGGGTTATTGCTTCGGTAAGAAAACGAGCCTAAGAAAAAAAATTTTTTTTTTGAAAAAATCCAATTAAATTTAATAAAAAAACCTGTTTACAACTTGTAACGAATATAAGCGTTTTCTTTGTTTTATGATTTCTTAGAAAAGACCAAACAATATTAATTTTATCCTCTTCTTCGCAGACTAGATAGGACTGAAAAATAGTTCAGGTAAAAAGAAATTAATTTATTAAATGAACTACTAGAGACGAGAAATTTGGAAAAAAACTTAAACATAAAATGCCATAAAGATATAAAACTTGACCATACAGATACAAAAACTGAATAAGTTAATGAAAAATCAAGGAACCCTGCGGAATGAACCTAGACTTTCACGAGAAAAAATTGACTAAAATCGCGTGTACCGGGGAATTCTATTCCCACACGGAATCCCAAACCCATTTCGAAGAATTTTTGAACCCCGATCCTAAACCCGCTCCATTTTTTCTCAACACCGGACCATCCTTAGTGTGTGTCAATAACTTTTTTCCGATCCAGGGATTTTTTCCAATTTTAGTTTTAGCCGTTCGATGGGAACAACTAGACAAAAATAGCCGTTCCCATCGAATTCCCAAATCAAAATTTTAAACTGAAATTATTAGATTTAACAAACCCAAAATTAAAAAAAAAATAATAAAAAATACTTGAGTTAATTGATCAGGCGTTGAATTCTTAGCACCTTCATGAGCAGATACAAATACTGGATCATTTAGCGAGACACGAACTAAATCTTCCACTCTTTTTGTCTGTGTTGCAGAGAAAAGAAGAGTTTGCCTTTGCTTTGGTAAGTTTTCAATAATTGCATCAATCTTTAAAAAGTTCAGAAAATTTTTAGAAAAAGGTAAAATCGAAATTAGACACCCCTCCCCCTTCATCTTTCCTCAAAACTAGAGTTGCCAAAATGGCCTGACCCGGACCGAAGATCAAGTCGGGCCTAAGAAATTGGCAAAAAAAGACTCGTATAAAGACTCGTATAGGCCCGACTCGAAAAAACAAGCCAAATGCCTCGACCGTCAGCCCAAACGAAAACGGCAACCATACTCAAAACATAAAAATGGACAGACCTAAATGTGCAATACTAGTCTCCTAATTTATGGGTACAAGTACTAGTCCTGCTTTACAGAATCAACGGTAATATTGAACCGGACAGACCCTTTTCCTCCCCAATTTTCGCTTATTTTGCAAAATGGTCAGACTTTTTCCTTTATTCAATCCAAATTAGCTTACTAATTTTTGCTTACAATCAAACAAAAAAGGATTATTTAATTCTTTTTTTTTGGATGGAAGAAAGGAATGCCTTTCCATTTTTCAAAAATATAGAAGAATTGGGGAGGAAAAAATAGGGTCTGTCCGGTTCAATAGTACCGAATCAACTAACAAATTTTAAGTCTGACAATTTTTTAATACTTTGAGAAAAGACAGGAGTGAGGAAAAGCTCGATTTTACAAAAAAAGTAAACCTGTTGTTTAAATCCCATATCCAAAATTCTGTCAGCTTCATCAATAACAAGCATTTGAAGTTGGTCAAAACAAAAATAGCCGTTCTCATCCATATGTTGTAAAAGTCGTCCTGGTGTGCATATTACTATAGAAATGCCAGCAAGACGTTCACGTTCAAACTCGACGTCAGTACCTCAAAAAAGAATTATGCTAAAATTTGTTTTGGAACTTAATAAAAATTGAAAGTCCGCAAATAATGTCCGCAAATATATTTTTAATAAAGAAAATAAAAATGTTGAAAGCAAGGGCATATTTAGGGGCCGACTTTCAGAAAAGGGACTGAAAAGGGGTGTACGCTAAAAGGATTTGAAATAAAATGAGAAGTTAAAGTCAATAGTGCAGCCACTAAAATTGATTGAAAAATTGAGGAGATTTACTATAAATATAACCCCAATTACAAGTTTTTGGAAGAAAAAAATTCAAAAAATGTAACGCTTTTCTAAACGCATTCAACTGAAAAACAAGCAAAAAAGCTTTGAGTTAAATGCGCTTTCGCAAAGCGTCTCAATTAATTTATTCCCATTAGTTTAAAGGTTTTAAATCATTTACATTTACGATTAAAACCTGAATAATTGAAATGGGAAAATCGATTTTGGAAATATTTTGAAAGCGCCTTCTATTTCCCTTACCGTTTTGAGCTTTTTTCCTTACCTCATCCCTCTATTCTTCTTAAAGGAAGTGTTACCACATAGGGTTGGGGGCCCGGTCCGGTGCGAAAGATCGAACAGGGCCTCGAATTTTGGCCCGAAAAAGACACGAACGGCCCGGTCCGATAAAAAATGAGGCCCGAAAGAATGAATCGAACGTCGGCCCGGTTCGAAAAATCCAACCCTATTCACAAATCCCAAAATATTCCAAGTTCATAAGCCAAACATCGAAAAAGTTGTAAGGAAAGAGGAAAGGAAAAAAAGCTCAAAATGGTCAAAAAATGAAAAAAGAGGCGACTTCCAAAGTGCTCTCAAAAACAGGTCCAAAGGACTTACAAAGTACTCCCAATTTTCCCTATAATCTGAAAATAACCTCCAATAAGTAAAGCAGCCGAAAAATCATGATAACTTCCAATATTATTCAAAACTTGAAATATTTGAAAAGCCAATTCCCTTGTTGGAGTGATTACTATAGCACCTAACCCATCAAATTTTGTCCATTTATTTCTCCAAAGGCATTCGAGCAACTTTAAAAAAATTTTAAAAATTTCCCTAAAAAATTAAAAAAACCGGAATAAGCAAAGCCAACGTTTTCCCACTTCCTGTTTTTGCTGCCCCAACAACATCCTTTCCAACAAGTGAATGTTTAAGGGAAAGAAGTTGAATATCCGTTGGTGTAGTAAAATTGGAATCTTTAAGTCCTTTTAGTGTTACTGGTGATAATGGGAAATCAGAAAATTTGTTTGCAATGAAAGTTTGCTAAAATTAAATAAAATTATGAGTTACCAGAAAAGTTAGGAACAGGTCGGGAGTCAAGCCTATAACTTGCCAGCAACGTTTAATAGACTCTTAACTCAGCACGTATAGGTTACCGACTAGTTTGACTGGATATAGGCCTGAATTCTCCTAATGGATCAGGGGCTTGAACTTATTTCCGAATCCACCAAGCTGACATAAGTCTAGAATCACATAAAACCTTGGCCTATATCCAGCGCGAACCCTCCTACCTACTGACCCTGTTTGAATAAACTCCCAAACTACCATCTTATAGAATAGAGCTTCAGCGGAAGTACCACTTCCGGTTCCGGTAGGCCGGAAGTTCCTGAATTTCTTGGTTCCGGTTCCACCAAAATTTGCAGTTCCGGTGAAGCACTACTATAGAACCTAAACCTGGACTTGCTACCAACTAGTCAAAACTATCCTCCCTTAATACTTGCTCCCATAGACTTTAATCAATCAGAAAAACTCACACAATTTAACGTTTCATATTTACTAGTAACTTGCTCAATCAAATTTCCAATACTTGACTTGTTTCTATTTTGTTGTTTTCGTTGTCGTTTCCGTTCAATTAAAGCTTTGTTTTTAGGCTCTTTTAAAATTATTTCCTCGTCATCATCACTGTCTCGAAATTTTTTCCTCATTATTATATCAATACTAGTTGCTCTGCTAAAAAACAAAAAAAAAAATTAGAAAAATCCCCTCGAGAAAAAAATAAAATAATTTTTTAAATGCCGGCCTCTTTCAGCGCCGCATTTTAATCGCCAGTTTTTGACCGGACGTTTCAGTGCTGAAGGCTTCAATATTTACAGAGTCAACCTTTAATAAAGGAGACCGGAACAAAGGTGACCGGAAATTATTTTTAACTGGATTAAAACCAGACCGAACTAATTTAGAAAAAATTCTAACGGATCCAGTCCGGTTTTAGTTACAAATCCAGAATCTGACTCAGGAAAATCAATTTAAAAAATAGTCACTAGCCTTTATCATACATAAAATAGGTAGGTAAATATTTACAATTTTTAGTGTTAACAAATGATTATCTACATAAATTATACAATGCCCTAGAATTATTTTTTTATTGTCCTTCATTCTCCTTCCCTCTCATCCAGTTTCTATTCTTTCTATCCTCTAGTTTCTCGGCTTCCCGCTTGCTCGGTAGTCGTTGAAGTTGATTCCATGTTTGTTGGATGAGTGACGATTCTAGGAGTCATGTTGATGATCTGAGCGCGTTGCAAAGGGTAGGGTTCCAACGCCATTACTTGAGGCACATCCACCACCTAAACTTAGGCAAAATAATTTTTTTCAATGCTAAGGCAACTAACAGGTGGAGGCAGCGAGTCATGATTGTGTTGACGATTACTCGATGAAAAGACGAAAATGCCATGGATACTGTTGAAGAGAATTTTCATACGAGCCGGGCATATGTAGAGGCCATCTTCTTTATGCTTAAAAAGTCAAATGTCAATTTTTAAATGTCAATGTCAGACGTATGTCACTTTAAAAAGTCGATGTCAGATGTCAAAATGTCAACTTTTAAAAAGTCGATGTCAGTGTCAGACAAATGTCAATGTCAGACATATGTCAATTTACTCACCGCACAATGCCAATACTCTGTTAGCCCAACTTTTGAATCATATCGAGTGTTGAACCTCCACACAAGTCCCTGCTGTCGTCGCTCTTCCGTCCACGCTTCCAATTGACGTTTGGTTCGAAAACGAGCAATAAGCGAAGTGTTATATCTCGATCGCTTGCCAAAGCCTTTGTCTTTATGCATTTTAGAAGCACTCATTTTGTTTTGGACAAACTGTTACCTTAAATGAAAAAACTTTAGGTAATTTAAAAAGTAAGAAGCTTACTTGACAGCGTTCCAAGTAAACAAGTATCCTGACAATTATGTTGTGTGAATTTGACAAGTAGAAGGTAGAATGGTCTTGGTGAATCTTTCATTTCCCCTTTTATACTAGACTTTATTGACAGAATTCTGAATCTCTTGAATGATCTTATATCCAGCTTCTAGGAGGGAAGATCGCGCATTTAACACGCTTACTGGGCTGGGGTTTAAACCAGTGTTGATTGCTGGACAGAAGACAGGATTTGATACCTAGGAGAGGTCGCAGGACGATGTGGGGGGGGGGGGGGGGCTCTACTGACCTAAAGACCCTGGGGCCCTCTACTTACCTAAAAACCCCGGGGCCCTCTACTGACCTAGAAACGTTTTTCCCTTATTGGCCTAGAAGGTTAAAAACCAAAAAAATGTGTCACTATCAGTTTTATTACAAAATACATTTTTACATATGTACAATTAACAGAAAGACTATATACATATCAAATTATTTCTCAACGTTATATTATTCAATTCATCCTCATTTTTTACTTCCTTCTCATCCAATTTCAATCCTTCTTGTCATTTTTAGTTTCTCGGCTTCCTGTCTGTTCGGTGGTCGTTGAAGTCATTTCCTTCTTAGGTGGGTGAGCGACGATTCTTGGAGTCATGTCAATAATCAGAGCAGTTTGCAACGGGTAGGGTTCCAACACAATTGTTTCAGAGGCACCGACACCCTAAATTAAATAGATAAATTAGCCGATTTTAAGTGTTTTTCGAACCGTTTTTGGCGGTGGCAATGAGGTATGATCGTGCTCACGATTCTTTGATTCATAGAGGTAGATTCCTCGATGGCCGCGGAAGACAACTCGTAGACGAGCCGGGCAAATGTAGATGCCATCTTCTTTGTACTAAAAATGTCATATGTAAATTTAAAAAGTCAAATGTCAATGTCAGACATATGTCAATGTCAAAAATGTCAATGTCAGACATATGTCAATTTACTCACCGCACAATGCCAGTACTCTGTAGCTCCCTTACGCGCATCATATCGAGTATTGAGCCTCCAAGTCTCTCCCTTCGCCCGTCGACGATCCCACCACGCTGTCAATTCCCGTTGGCTGTTAAAGTGCTCAAGTCTTTCATACCTCGATCGCTTGCCGAAGCCTTTATCCTTCTGGATTTCAGCGGCATCCTTTGTCTTCTGTCGATATTCACCATCATCAGCTGCCCCCATTGATGATACCTTGAAAGATAATGAATTGAAAATTTTTAGGGAGGTTTAAAAACAAAAAACATACTTAATTGGGGATGTCCTGACGATCGACGATGAGTGAATCTAGCAGAAAGTAAGTTGAGGTTCTTCGAGATACGGGTTCTCATTTTCCTTTATATACTAGATTTATTGTCAGGTATATGGATAAAGTGAAAACTTGAGGGAAATTTGCAAGAACAAGATCCCCTACCCATTGTAGGCCAGACTTTCTACCTTATCATAGGACATGGAAAGTTTCCTCCCTTAGCCTAGTAGATGATCCAAAAATTAAAACTGCAACAGTCAATCCTGGGATGGTTGATGTGGGATGGCTGAACAGCTCTCCGGATCAAATCCCCGTCAATCTTTCGTTGTTTTCTTGGAGGGATCGCGAGAAGACGAGAAAACTTGGAAGTCGAGAAGACGTTGGAAGTCGTCCTTTTCCTCTGATCATTTTGAGCTTTTTTACCCTGATCATTTTGAGTCTTTTTACCCTGATCATTTTGAGTTTTTCACTTCTCTCTTCCCTTATTCTTCACAAACCATAAAATATTTCAAGCCCTTAGATAACAAAAAATGAATGAAGGAATATAAAAAGTCCATCAATGAAAAAATTTTCGGGCAAAGCCCAGTCCTACAACCAGCCCCGATTTCGTTCCACGTGTGAAAAAAAACAAACAAATATAGAGCACAACACTAATTTCTTTTTTTAACATAATTAGGGAATAATAAGATTTATATCAAAATAATCCAACTGGCAATAAAAGTGGACAGAGAGAAATTAGAGGAAAAAATCAGAGGAAGAGAAGAGAGGAATTAAACGTGAGGAGAGGAGAGGAGAGGGAGAGGGGCTTTTGGATGTTTTGGACTATGGAACCGGTTGGAGATTATTTTATATAGAAAACTTTTTTTCGAAAATACTTTCCTTGTTCACTCACATTTTTAAAACTAAAAATAAAAATTTTTTGTTGGCCCCAACATCTTGTTTAACGAGGGACACGCCCATCTTGTCGCGCGGCCACCTTGTCGCAGAGCCATAACTTGCTAAAAAATTTCTGGCCTTTATCAATTTTGGTACCAATCTCTTTGGCTCGATGAGAGGAATCGTTTAATACTAAATTTGGTAAGATTCGGAAAACTTGAAGGAAGTTATGGCTCTGCGACAAGGTGGCCGCGCGACAAGGTGGGCCGTACCCGTTTAACGAGTGTCCTCGTCTTAGGTAGGTTAGATTTTTAGACGCTGACGAGTTCAATTTTTATTTTTAAAGTGCACTCCTCTCTCTAACCCTCTCTCTAATCGGACAAAAACTAATATGTACTTCGTGCTTGTATCAGTTACAAGTACAAGTAAAGCCTCTCTCTAATTAATCAAAATCTCTCTTAAATTAAACCCTCTACTCATTTATTTTGTCACTCCCCCGTCTGTCTGCAAATTGATATGCCTTGGCATTAGGGTTGTCAGTTCTCGGAACTGAATCGAAGAACAGAGGATTTTTCTGTTCGATTCATCGATTCGGTTTTTGATATCCGAAGATTCCAAGAACCGATAACTTTGCTGGGAATAAGTTAAAAATGTGGCTATTTTCAATTTGCGGATAAAAATGCGGACACAAACCCGGGGAAGGGAACCGTTTCTATAAACTATGGGATCTTCTGATTTTTTCCAGAAATTTTTTTCAGAAATTTTTTTTTCTGAACCCAAAACTTCAATAGATATTTTTAAAATCATTTTTACAAAAATATTCCATTAAAATTACTTTTTAAAAAAATCATTTTCTGTCTTTTTTTTCTTATCAAAAATTGCCTTTCCACGTCCACTAAAATTTTTAGCCAAAAAATTTCTTTTCAATTTTCCCCTTATAATGGGCATTTAAAATGAAGAGAGAGGAGACGGAGAAAAGCCGAAAAAACCAACTAAAAAATAAAATCATTCACTTCTGCCTTAGTTTTGACGGCCGAGCGATCGCGCAACATTCAAAAAAAATTATTTTTATAATCACATTTTGCGTTTGTCCACTCTTACAAAAAATCTGTGTGTATTTATTTTCTCTTCTTTTTTTTATTTTCTTTTTATTCTTTTTTTTTTTTATTTTTCATTTTTCCATCCTCAAAACATGTATTACATTAATATTTTTAGTCCAATAATATTTTATAAATTTGCGGACAAAACTTGCGGACAAAACTTGCGGACAAATTTTTTTAACTTGTAAAGTATTTTAAAAATTCTTATCAACTATTTTAGCCAAGTTAATAGCCCTACTTTTAAGATCCCTCCTAATTTTATCCATACTCCCTAAAGGCTTAGTCCAGTTTTTATAAATTTGCGGACAAAACTTGCGGACAAAACTTGCGGACAAATTTTTTTAACTTGTAAAGTATTTTAAAAATTCTTATCAACTATTTTAGCCAAGTTAATAGCCCTACTTTTAAGATCCCTCCTAATTTTATCCATACTCCCTAAAGGCTTAGTCCAGTTTTTATAAATTTGCGGACAAAACTTGCGGACAAAAATTTTTTTAATTTTCTGAAGCATTTTAAAATAGGCTTATGTATTAAATATTTTAGCCAATAATAGCCCCTTCCTTTATGATATTTATCCTAAACCCTCCTAATCTTGTCCATAGTTTGTCCATATTCCCCAAAGGCGATCGCGCAGCATCAAAAAATTTTATTGTTTTTTTTTTCAATTTTTTCTTCATTAAAAAATTTTTAAAAATCAGAATAAGCAGAAACGACGCTTTTCCAATTTCTGGTATTTAATTTTTTTATTTAATTTGATTTTTCTAACTTTAAAACATGTTAATATTTACCCAGATTTTTAATAGTTTGCAGAGGTAAAAACATTCCACTTAAGTATTTTCCCCGCATTTCAGAAATTTTGTAATGGGCGCTAACCCGAAAAAAATTTTTTTTTAATTTTTTAATCAAAACAAAAATACCCTTACAAATTCTAATGGAATAAAAATTATAATTATGTCCGCAAAAAATTTTTTTGTCCGCAAAATTTTTTTCTGTCCGCAAAAAATTTTTTTGTCCGCAAAAGTTGTTTTCTGTCCACTTATTTCCCCCTACATTTCTAAAGTTAAAAAAAAAGTGGAGAAAAGTCGTTTTCGCGCTCTCCGTGAAAAATCTGAGAAAAAATAAAAGAAAAAAAGTATTATTTAGTACTGGCCGATTTTAGTTGTTTAGTTGATGGCCGGTCTTTTCCCCTCCCCCTCCCCTCTTCTTTTTTCCTCATTCTCCATTAAATCCACTTTTTTTCTTCTTCCTCAATTTTATATCGAAAGTAGGACTTTGCGCAAATTTATTTTTTAAGGCAAAAAATTACGTGCAAAAATTACGTTTTGATTTTTAGTGTATTTTCTTCTTGTTGTTTTGTTGTTGTACTTTTAAAGAGAAGAATAGAAGAAGAGATTCTCTTTTCTTCTCTCTTTTGTTTTGTCTTCCTCATATTTTGCCAATACCACATTTTGCCAATAAGGCAATAAATTTACATTTTGTCAATAAGTATGTTGACAAAACGAGAGTTTTTAGTCTTATTGGCAAAATGTGGTAATGGCAAAATGTCGTAAATGAAGAAAAGAAGAGACTTCTCCTTTCTTCTCTTTTGTTTTGTCGTCCTCATATTTTGCCAATACGACATTTTGCCAACAAAGCTAAAAATTCACGTTTTGCCAATAAGTAGTGTTGACAAAACGAGGGTTTTTAGCCTTATTGGCAAAATGTGGTGTTGACAAAATATGGTGACATGTCCTTCTCTCTTGTTTCATTGCGCAATTGCGCTTCTTTTCTTTTTTTGTTTTTATTTTTGATTGTCACCGACGTTGCGCTTTTTTGTCCACTCTTCTTGTTGCGCGACAATATTATCCTCTTCCCTCTCTTCTTCTCCCTTTTATTTAAAATTAAGCCTTATTATTTTTCCCCTAATTTTCTTTTTTTTCCTTTTCTTGTTTTTTTTGTCCACACAACTGGTCAGCGAAATAATTAGAAAAATAAATAAATTAATGTTGATTTACCTAGATTTTTATTTATTGCCATAATTAGGTTAGTATGTTTTTCGAGAAAAAAGGGGGAAATTAATTTATTATTTTTTTTGGGAGAAGAATTTGCGGATGGGGGTTGCGGACGCCTACTAACTAAATATGCACAGCCAAACCTCACTACTATAAGACGTACTCTTGGGGAGGAAAAATTCGTACCTTATAATGAGGGCTACCTTAAATTGGAGGTATTGTTTGGGCAGCTCCCCAAACTCTTGGCCAACCAAATTTTAGGAGAACGTAGCTTAAATCGAGATGGGTCTGATAGGCGTTGTTTCTAAACATATTAAGCTTTGGCCGTTAGTTCCAACTTGTATATCTTCCGTTCTTTTCGCAGATATATCTAAGGCGGGGAGGAGAAGGGTTACCCGAAATCTAGACTTTTTCTCGGACGATCCGAGAAAGTTTCCAAAATCGTAAACCCGACCAGGCTGTTTTTCCAACTTGTCCCATTTCCTCCCAACCAGAGGTGGGTCGGAATTCCGATTTCCGACGTTTTTTTCCTTCCGATTTCCGAGTTCCAACTTTTGAGCCAGTTCCGATTTCCGATACCTCTGACTGCTCCGACCCACCTCTGCTCCCAACCCGTCTCCTATCTCTGATCTAAGAGTGATATTAGGGTTGACAAACCTAGGATGATCATCCCAAACTACTCTTTTTTAAAAATAATTCAAACTAAAAAACTCTCCCTTTTCAATCATTTTTTCTCTTTTGTTCACAAACTAGGCCCATTATTCATTTTTCAATTTTCACTTTATTCACACAGTCATTTGCTGATTTTCTCTTAAATATTATTTTTTTTTCGACCGGCTGAATGGCCGAGCACAACAAGCACAGACCGGCACACGGACACGTTCTTTTCTTTTTTTTCCTTTTTATTTTTCCTTGTTTTTGTTGTCTCACTTTTTATATAATGCGCGTCCTCCACGCCAGCCAAAAATCTTCCCCTTCTTCCCTTCTCTTCACAAAAATTTTCTTCTTCTTCGTCCTTTCCCTCTCTTCCCTATAAATATATTTACTAACCCCCCCCCCCCCTTTAAAAGCAATTTACAAAACACACTCTGCTTCCGACTGTCCACACATTTAAATAAATAACTTTTATTTTTAAAAATAAAAATAAAATAAAAATACTTAACTTCACTTTCCTCGCAACAACAAAACAAACTTTAAAAAATTGAATAGACAACAAATAGTTTTCTTTTAATTTTTCAAAATTTTGTTTTGCCCTTCTGTTCGTTTCTAACCCTACGGGCTTCGACTGAGGTCAGTGGATCCTGAAAAATCCTCAGATATCCGATCCGGAAATTTCGGATATCCGGGCTTTTTTGGATCCGGATCTGCCATCCCTGCTTCACCTCCCCTTTTCACACTAACTTTTTCGTTTCTAAGCCTCTGGACCTATTGCTCCTTTTCCCAACATTTTAACACAAAGGTGAACAGATCCTTAGGAAATCTTCTGATACCTGCCAATCCGAAAATTGGTATATTTAGACTTTTAACTTTTTCCTGATCTGCTACCCTTATTCCCCAACGTTTCTAGCTCGTTCGTGGTCTCTCACCATTTTTTTCTTAATGCAGATCCCGGGAACTCTCTTCGGATACTTGCTGAACCTCAAATTTAGGATATCCAGACTTTTTCGAATCAAAACATCCGAATCCGCCAACCCTACTCTTCTCTCAACGTTTCTAGCTCGCTCAGGCTTTACCAACATTTTTTCTTTAATTTTTAAAAGTTTCCGCCTTCCGTCACTCACTTTTTTTTCTGTTCTTTTCAAAAACACTTATCGCCTCTCTTAAAAAACTTTTTTCTCAACAAACAAAACTCCTTTAAAATCTCTCAAACAAACAAAATTTTTTTTGCCAATTGTCCACCTTCATTTGTCCTTCGCCTAGTTTTTTTTTCCGTCTGTAGTGTCGCTCTAACGCACAAATCGGTGAATTTTATTTTTTAAAATTTTCTATGTATTCGTAAAATATTTTAATTTATTTTTTCTAAATTTTCTTGCTTTTCAAGTTCTGTCCCATTTCTATAAAATTGAAAGGTTTTTTGTTGACGTTTTAATTTTTACCGGTTCCCCTGTTATGTTTTTCCATGAACAGCTAGAATCGAAAAATACTTGCTCTGCTTAACGATCTTTGGGTAAGGGGAAAGATTTCCCATCAGGGCTGGACGCAACTGAAAAAAATTTTCCGCAGCCGCAATCCGCAGTTGCGTCCAGCCCTGCTTCCCATAGCAAGGAATCTCCTTAAAACCGCTTACACCACTCAAGTGGCGTCCGTGGTGTAGTGGCTAACATACCAGAACTCCTCTTCCTTTATGATAGCCCAGGTTCAATGCCTAGCGGCATATATTGGCTGCTTTAGTCTTAGTATCATATAAACACCTTGTTTTTAAATTAAAATTTCAATTTTCTTCTCTTCATTTTAAATTTTCTCTTCCATCAAACAATCATTTCTTCCTTTGTGTCCTTTTATTGTTGTTATTTTCTTTTCCATTTTGCCCCCAATTTTTTCTTTTCACCTTCGCGCGCCGGCTGGCACTAACACTTCTTTTTGACCTTACTTTTACGAAGCGAAATCGCGGAATTCTCCCAAAACTTTTTTCTATTGCGCGTACGGCCTTTTTCTACTCCCTTTCATTTAAAGGTGGCAATTGTAACTGATGGCCTTCATCATCACACGCCCTCCGTCTTCCAAAAATATTTCTTCCCTTTCTTGATTTTACTCTCTTTTCTTATTATCTTCCTACTCTTCATTTCTCTCTATGCTCATCTCTTCCCTTCCACTTTCTTCCACTCATTCATCATTACCCTTCATCCCTTCGTCCTTTCTTCATCTTTTCTTCTTCATCTCTTCTTAACCTCTTCCTTTCCTCATCATCTTTTTGCCATCTCTTCTTTCTTTCCTCTTTAACCCTTCTTCCTTACTTATTCGTCTCTTCCCCTTCTTCATCTCTTCTTTATTTTTCTTCTTCCTCGTCATCCTTTCTTCGTCTCTTCATTTCTTCGTCCTTTCTCCCTCATCCTCTCCTCTTCCTCCTTTCTATTTCCTCTTCTTCATTCTTCCTTTCTTCATTTCTTTCCTCTTCTTCATTTTTCTTCCTCTCTTCTCCTTCTTCATCTCTTCTCCTTCTTCATCTCTTCCCCTTCTTCTTCCTCTCTTCTCCTTCTTCATCTCTTCCCCTTCTTCATCTCTTCCCCTTCTTCTTCCTCCTTCATCCTTTATTCCCTTCTTTTCATCATTTCCCTTTTACTTCATCTTCCTTACTTCATCTCTCTTTATTCTTCACCTTATTACTTATTTTTACCCTAAATTTTCTCCTTTCCTGAATCTCCTCTTCTTCTACCCCTTCCATTTAGCTAACTAAATTTCCCCTTTTCCATTTTAATTCTTCTTTTCATCTCTTTCACTTCCCTTTCCGCCTTTTCCATAATTCCCTTTTCTACGCAAAAGTCTTGTCTCATATCTTCTTCTTCCATTTTCCCCTATGGGGCGCCCAAGGTCGATGGCCCTGACCTGAATTTGTTTTCTTTTTGAATGTATGTTTTGTGTCCTCATTTCGTTTCTAAAAGGACAAAACAACAACAAAAATTGTTGAACAAGGGCTCAAGAAGATCTTTAGGGGGAGAAAGTATGCATTAGTGACCGGCAAAATCGTATTTGCGGGATCCCGCATGCGGGAGTAACTTCTATGCGGGACGGGATCCCGCGGGAATAATCCCGCAAAATCCCGCGCGGGATCCCGTCCCGCGCCGGTCACTAGTATGGATCAACCTATGAAACCTGCTAAAATTAAAAAAAATTTCTTAAAATCATTTTTTGCCAAATTTTTAACTCGCTTTTTTGCTTTATTTTTGCTCCTTATTTTTTCAAAGAAAATTTTTTTTTCCACTTTTCAGATTCTAGAAATCTCTAGAAAATGGGCCTTGATTCCTCCCCCGACCCCTCAACCAGTGCAGAACAATTGGTCGCTTCTCCAGTTGCTACAGCAGTCGTGGCTGATGCACAAGTTGCTACTGCTGCCACTGATGTACTTAGGCAAATGATAGCAATGGAGAAACAACAACAACGAAAACGCCCTTCTGTTTCATGTGATTCTGCTGATGGGCACAGACGAAACATCAAAAATGAGGGAGAGAATGTAAGGGGCTATTTTAAAATGATATAGTAGTACAGTCGGACCTCCCTCCCAAAAATGAGATAGAACTCTAAGAAAACGTTTTTAAAATTGGGGTGGCCATTGGGTGAAGGAACTGTCTAAGCGATACCCCCAATTTAAGATACACTCATTATAAGTTACCCTCTATTTAAAATACCTCTCATTATAAGGTACAATCTTTTCATCCCTAAGGGTGTATCTACATACAGGTGAGGTCCGATTCGTCTGATTCTATTTAAAAATAAACACGCAAAGCAAGTGTCGTAGGCTTCCCATTGATTTAAAAAAAAATTAAGATTATGCCTGATTTTGCTAAAAATCTATTTTCCTTTAATTAAAAAATATTTTGCCTTTTATTTTACCAACGTTTGAGGGGAACTCTCATTGGACGTCTTCATTATCAAGAATTCTGCGCAGTACGAATACAAATGATGAAGAAGAAAGACGAATAAATGAACAAGAAGCATCAACTGTCGGTCAGTATTTTAAAAATTAATATAAAAATTATCCAGGCTCAGGTGTCCAAAATTTTTTAAACTAATTTTATGGCCACTAAGTAGGGTTGGGGGTTTCAGTTGGGCCGACGTTCGAGTCATTTTTATCGGGCCTCTTCTTTTTCGGGCCGGCCCGACCGAGTCTTTTTCAAGCCAAAATTTGATGTCCGGCTCGATCTTTCGGACCAGACCAGACCGGGCCCCCGACCCTAATACTAAATGTAAGCCTTCAATAATGCCTTGTAAACAGTTAAATTTTTCGACAAAATTTTTTTTAATTTCAAAAATTTGTGTGTAGTTTTAAAAATTACTCGTAGCCCTATTCTGCACTTAAAAAATTTTTTTTTGCTCAAAAAAAGATAAAGGTGAATGGGTTAGTGAATAGCCAAAATAAATATTTAGATAATATTTACATACATTTAAATACTGAAAAAAGTAAATATTTTTTGGGTATTTATTTTTGGCGCCCTCATTTAAAAAAAAATCATTTTGGGGCAACCCAAAAATGAGTGAATATTTTCTTTAGTGAATGAGTTTTATTTTGTGCTTTTAAGTAAGGTTATTTTGGCCCGCGCGCCCTTTTTAATTCAAAAAATCAAAAGAGAGGAACACGTGCCATTAAATAACACAAAAAATATTCATTATAAATTTGCGGACTGACTTTTGCGGATATTCATCAAGCTTTGGATATTTTAGCTTTTTGTATATTTTTGGGGAATTTTCTTTCACTTTGCGGTTGGGCTCTATTTTAGACCAACCCTATCACTAAAATTTGTTCAAATTTCAATAGGTGTTTCTGCTTTGTCCGCAAATGTAAACCAAAAAATTTTCCCTTAATTAAAATTTTGCGGACATTGATAATCCTCCAGAGGGACATTAAATCTGGAATACTATAATTAAAAGTCTTACAAATTTCTTTTAATTTATTCTTTAATTTAAAGCAAATAGCAACAATAACACCAATTGCAATCCTCCCAATCTCGAATTAATTAGCGATGCTGAATTGGCAATGCTCTGTGTGTTCCATGTGCCTGATAAAGCTTTACATTTACAAGACCCGAATAATCGAGCTTTTACGTCTCTTCCGCTTAATTTAACTTTGAAACCTTCAAATGTAGCAGTGGCTAAAGAGAGAAATGTTTGTGGTTTTCAAGAAATTTTTCAAAAAATTTTTTGAAAAATTTTTTGAAAATTTTCAAAAAATTTTCAAAAATTTTCAAAAAAATTTTCAAAAAAATTTTCAAAAAATTTTCAAAAAATTTTCAAAAATTTTCAAAAATTTTCAAAAAATTTTTCAAAAAATTTAAAAAATCATTTTAATTTAAGGAGCTCGGTGTATTTTCAACAGATTTTATTCCTCGTTTCGCCCGTTTTGGCCCATTATGTGGTGATTGTCGAATGCCTTTAGTTAATAATAAAGAAGAAAATGCTAGTACAGTATCGTTGCCATTAAAAGAAGCTAAAGCATTTTGTTTAAAAAGCGTGGGAGAAGAGAAGGAAAGAAGAAAGAAAGAAAAATTTAAAACAAATAGTTTTGATGAATCAACAACAACAAATGTTTTTAAAAATGTTTTGGAAAATGTTGGGCATTTTAAACAGCAACAAAAACAACAATATACAATTAAAACATCAACAAACAATGAAGCAAACATAAATTCTGCTTTTAATTTAAATCAGAATTTAATTAAACCATCAACAAACAATGAAGCAAACATCAATTTAAATCAGAATTTAATAAAAACATCAACAAACAACGAAACGAACATTTATTCTGATTTTAATTTAAGACAGAATTTAAATCAGAATATAATTAAAACATCGACAAACACCAATATAAACATTAATTCTGATTTTAATCTAAATCAGAAAAACGAAGAAAGAGAAAAAGATGAAATGAACAACAACAACATTAAAACAAAGAGAAGCAGTGTTTGGAAGGTAAAGAAATGTTTTTAAGAATCTAAAATGCAAACAAAGATTCTGACTATCAGAATTTAAATCAGAATTTAATCAAAACATCAACAAACACTAATACAAACATTAATTCTGATTTTAGTTTAAACATAAGAAAATAAGTTTAAGCTGTGTGGGAGAAATGGACATCATCCACTCCCCATCTAATAATCCCTTAAAATTTATCAAATTAAATATGTAGGCTTTTCTGCCCTTTCCTTTTTAAAATAAAAATTGACCATTTTATCAACTTAAATTAAAAATTTATTTTTTATAAACCTTTCCCCCTCAAAAAGCAATCCACCAATCTCAGCTGAGTGAGTCTTGTGCCCTTTTTACCCTTTTAAGGCTTTCAAATGTTTATTATATCGTTTTCCTTTTAAAAAACATTTTTCCTTCCCTTCCCCGCCCACAGAAAAATAAAACAAAAAATGTCAAATTAACCAAAAAAAAACGGTATTTTATTTTATTAAAAAAATAATTTAATGGGCCCTCAGTTTCAATTTCATTCTCATTTTTAATTTTCCTTTAAATATATAAAATAGGAAAAATTTGAAGCAAAAGTAAAAATGCTTCTTAAAGAGAGTCTCAGTTTCATGGGAAAATAAATTTTACTAAAATTAATCTCTCTCAAAATATTTTTTGTTTTGATTTAAAATTTATTTTTATTAAATTTCCCTTAGATTTTCTCATCTAATAATGCTTCCCATTTACTTCGTCTAATTGAAACAAATTCAAGAAAAGCTAATTGGATGAAAAACGTTCAGATGGCTGAAAATAAGGAAGAACAAAATCTAATTGCTTGTCAAGTAGAAAAATATTTTTGAGAAAATATTACGGGTGGACCTCACCTAGATACCCCCTTAGGGCTAAAAAAAGTACCCTATAATGTGGTATATTAAATAAGGGGCACTCCACATAATGACTAGCTTTGTGCTTCCCCACACTAACGACCAATCTAGAGGTGTGTCTAATATCGGGGGTATCTTATAACGAAGGGGTATGTATTGGGGATGATCTTATAAAGAGGTTTGACTATATATAATGGGGTATCTTAAATAGAGGGTGTTGCTTGAATAGAGGGTATCACTTAGATAGCTCCTGGTATCTTGAATAGAGGGTATCACTTAGATAGCTCCTGGTATCTTGAATAGAGGGTGTTGCTTGAATAGAGGGTATCGCTTAGATAGCTCCTCCACTCAAGGGCCACTCCAGGGCCCCTTTGAATAGCGTATTTTAAATAATGATTCATGAAAAGCAAGTTGGTGAGTGTTTTATATTGAGAGTATCTTATAATAGGGGGTATTAGTGTGTGTTTTATAATGAGGTCTGACCCTGTTAAATAAATTTAAAAAATCATATTTTTCCCCTTTAGTACGACAACGAAATTTATTTCTATACAATACGCTCTATCCAACCCAATACAGAATTACTCTTTTGGTACAGTCATGAATATGCACAGCATTTACGAGTTGAACAACGATTAAATGGTGTTTTTATTTAAATTTTTTGATTTTTAAATTTATTTTAGAAGAAAATGAAACTGAAAAAGCTCAAAAAGAGCAACAAACTACTACAGATTTAATGAGAGAAAAATGCTCAACACCAGAGCGTTTGCCTGTTTCAGGAGGTGTAAGCAACTGCGGTAGTAATTTGAGAAAGGTATTGTAAAATTGCGATGGAACTTCTTAGCCCTAGGGACTGAGAATTGTACCTTATAATGGGGTGTATTTTAAATAGGGGGTGTAACTTGGCAGTAAATTTAAAATGGTGTACCTTAAATATATGGCTATTTTGTATTATATAGAGGGTATCGCTTGGGTGGTTTCTCACCCAATGGCCAACCAACCTTTAACAACATAGGTGCCGTAAATAGAGGGTATCCTCTAATATTGGGTGTATTTTATGTAGAGGTTTTGATTAACCGATCAAGTGTTTCGACATCACAGTTGAGCAGTCGAGACTGTATCTAGTTAATTTTTAGACAAACTCTTTGCTCATTGGCTCTTCCAACTCTCAACATTCACATCATTCACCAGTTGCTTCAGCTTCATCAACTTCTGACTTGACACCTTTATTTAGCGATGACTTTATTTCTATCAATTCGAGTTCAGAAAGGTAGAAAGGACGTTAGAAAGTCTAAAAATAAAAATAATTTAGTTCTTCACCTACAAGCCCCCCACCCGGTCAATCACAACAAAATCATCGTCATCATCATCATAACAATAACCATATTTATGGCCATTCCCATAAGGGAGAACTTCAACGTCATCTAAGTTTTTCTGAAAAATTAACAAAAGTAGATAACCACTCTTCCTTATTTCATCAAAATAATAACCGTCCAAATGTAATTATTCAACAACAATCTTCCTCTTCGTCCTCTTCAACTTCTTCAGTACACCGTCCTGTTCCCTTACGTCTATCTAGCCCACAGGCACCCACCACTCTTCTACCTACGGCTCTGGGCTCTGCTTTGGCAAATTTGCCCTCTTTGGGAAGTTGTCCAAATTCTTCTCTATTACAAACCCAAACAGCTCCTTCATTGGCATCCCTAGCCTTTTCATTAGGCCATAGTGCCTTTCTTCGTCCAACTTCCACATCTTCCAATATTTTGTCTTGTAATAATTTTTCAACTACAACAACATCATCCTTGGGAACATCTTTATTTTCTTCTTCTACACCTTCACTTCCTTTTCCTCATCAAAACAACCCTCTTCCCTCCAATAACAATAACTTCCCTTCAGTCTCCTCTACAGCTATGGATAGTCTTCACAATCTAATATGGTCAAGACGTTTAGCACTTGCAGCAGTACAACAGCAACAACAACAACAATTTGGAAATTGGTTACAAACTAGTGGACTTGCTGCTACCAATAATGGCAATTCAGCTAACAATTCTGCAACACCCTTAACTACCCATCTACTCAATTTACAAGCTATTGTTGCCCCAACAAATAATCCAAATTCTTCGTCTTTGAATCAAAATGGAGGAGGAATTGTTAATGTAGGGGGAGGAGGAGGACGGGCTGCAGCTGAACAACATTTAATTCCAGCTTTAGGCTGTACAGCGGTGGCGTCAGTACCGTCGATATTACCCTCTCGCAACAATAATGGTAGGTTTGATTTGAATATTAATACGTGGGATTTTGGGAAGTACAAATATTGGTGTCCGCAAATATTTGCGGACAAAATTTGGTGTCCGCAAATATTCTTAAATACATTTTAATAAAGTATACAATTTAGCAGCACTTTCTTCATCCCAACAACATACTAACAAACAACAAAACATCCATCAAACTCGATCCTTGGCACAATCCCCATCATCACTCTTTGCCGCTGTAGCTGCAATGTTGCCTCAACAACAACAACAAAATCGACAAGATAACGAAAATCATTACAATATTCGTCACCAACAACAATTCCCTCATCAAACTCCTCATATACGTCGTCCTCCTATAAATAATGGGGGATTATTAACAGAAATGAGAAGCGGAGATTTGATAAATATTGGACGTTCAACAACAACAACCAACCAAGCAACTTCGATCCAGTCAACTTCAATTCCTCCTACAGAAGGAATTTCTTCTTCCTTTGCTGTAGCAGCTGAACTTAGACAATCTTTGCAGGCATATCAAGCTGCGTTGGTCGCGGCTGCTGAACGTGTTGCTCGTAATGAAGAAGGTGGAGGAGGAGGGGTAGAAAGAAGAATAGGAAAAGAACGTAGAGAAAATGGAAACAATAAAAATAATAATTTTGGGGAACAAAATATTCAAAATAAGGCAATATTTAATTTTAAAAATTGAAAAAAAATTTTTTATTAGTTTTGGCATTCACAACAAGTAGATGGAAGGACGCGTTATGAGTGTAAGGTAGTATTTTTATGTTTTTGTGTTTTCTAAACAAGTTGAATTGTGTTTTTCCGGAATTTTGTGTTTTTTTTTAATTTAATTCAAGTTTGTGTTTTCCGCAATAGTTGTGTTTGTTTTCTGAAAATTCAGAATTCAGTAAAATTGTTTCAGAATTGTGTTTTTTAATAATTCTGATTTTAATTCTGGTTTTAATTAATTCTGGTTTTTAAAAATTCTGATGCTATTAAATTCTGATTTTAAAAATTCTGATATTGAAAATTCTGATTTAATTAATTCTGGTTTTGATTAAATAATTCTGATTTAAAAATTCTGGTTTAAAAATTCTGGTTTTAATAATTTCTGGTTTGCTTGAATAATTCTGATTTAAAAATTCTAATATTAAAAATTCTGATTTATCCTGAAATTCTGATTTTAATTAAATAATTCTGATTTTTTTAATTCTTTTCTAAAATACATAGGAATGTTCAAAACCTTTTGGTCAGTTGTCAAACTTAAAAGTCCATTTACGAACACATACTGGAGAAAGGCCTTATAAATGTAGTAAATGCAATAAAGGGTAATAGTTTAAAAATACATTTTTATTTAAATTTAATAAATAGATTCACTCAATTGGCACATTTACAAAAACACGATTTGGTACATACCGGGGAAAAGCCTCACCGTTGTGAGGTGAAAATAATTAAATTAATTTAAATAAATATTTAAAATTTCTTTAAGGTCTGTGACAAACGTTTCTCTTCTACTAGCAATTTAAAAACACATCTTCGCTTACATAATGGACAACGCCCTTATAGGTGGGTTAAGAGTTTTTGTATTTTTACTTTATCAGAATTGTTTTTGTATTTTCTAAAATTTGTGTTTTCTCAAATATTTCAGAATTCTGATTTTTAAATTAATTTTTTAATAATTCTGATTTTAAAAATTCTGATTTTCAAAAATTCTGATTTTCAAAAATTCTGATTTTAAAAATTCTGATTTTCCCAGAATTCTGATTTGCAAAAATTCTGTTTATAAAATTCTGATTTTTTCATAATTCTGATTTTCAAAAATTCTGATTTTAAAAATTCTGATTTTAAAAATTCTGATTTTCAAAAATTCTGATTTTAAAAATTCTGATTTTCCCAGAATTCTGATTTGCAAAAATTCTGTTTATAAAATTCTGATTTTTTCATAATTCTGATTTTCAAAAATTCTGATTTTAAAAATTCTGATTTTAAAAATTCTGATTTTCAAAAATTCTGATTTTAAAAATTCTGATTTTCCCAGAATTCTGATTTGCAAAAATTCCGTTTTTTAAAATTCCGATTTCTTTACATTTCTGATTTTGTTATTTTTATTCTGATTTTTAAAATTTAAATCTTTCTTAAATTACAGTTGTGATCGCTGCAATCTTTCATTTACACAGCTTGTACATTTAAAACTACATCAACGCATACATTCTAATGTTCTTTAAATTTATTTCTAAATTATTCTCTTTAAATATTCTCTCTTAAAGGAACGTCCCTTTACATGTACTTCATGTGGCCGTAACTATATTAGCCCTAGTGGTTTACGTACTCATTGGAAAAATACTGCTTGCCGTCCACTTGCTAACGAATTAAATTATTTACAAAATTATGTTGATGGTTTGGCTGGGGCGGGTACTGGGGAACGTTATTGCCCTTCAACAGCTTCTAATGTTAGGGGTAAAGGAAAAAATTTTTAAAAATTAAGAAAATTTTTTTTCAAAGTTTTGAGCCCATCAAATATGGAGATGGAAAGACAACAAGAAGAATATGAAGAAAATTGTAGTGTTAATGAGGAAGGATTATTTATGAAAGGTGAAATTGAGGAAGAGAGTGTAGGCGAAAATGAGGAAGAAATTATAAATGTGGTAATTTTAAAAATACAAAATAATAAATACAAATTGCTATAGAAAATACACATTAAAAATACAGGATAAAATACAAACAGAATTAAATAAATCAGAATTGTGTTTTTGGATTAAATTAAAAGTGTTTTACTGAAATACAAAATCAGAATTATTATTTTTTCAGAATTAAATTTCAGAATTTATTTTTCAGAATTAATTTTCAGAATTTTTTCAGAATTTATTTTTCAGAATTAATTTTCAGAATTTTTTCAGAATTTATTTTTCAGAATTTTTTCAGAATTTATTTTTCAGAATTATTTTTCAGAATATTTTTTCAGAATATTTTTTCAGAATATTTTTCAGAATTTATTTTCAGATTTATTTTTTTCAGAATTTATTTTTCAGAATTTTTAAAAACTTAGTCTATTTAAACCAGAATAATTAAATCAGAATTAAATTTCAGAATTATTTTTAAAAAACAAGAAATACAAAATACATATAAAATACAAGTTTAATTAGAATACATTTCTGTTTAAGTCAGAAGAAACTTCCAACAAAAGGTCAGATATGCGGGAATGTTGTAATAGTGCAAAAGACAATATCAAATCAGAAGATATTGTAATATGTGAGTGAAAATAATATTTTAAAATAAAAACATGTGATATTTAAATATTTAAAATCCGACCGTGTGCAATTTCTAAAAAACACAAAAACACCCAAATTTAATTTTTTTCATGCAATAATTAACTTAGAAAAAGCAATTTTTATTTATAATTTATTTAAAAAATATTTTAAATTTTTTTCATAAAATTTTGTATTTATTTTCTTATAAATAAATTTAATTATTAAAAGAATAATGGCAATAAATTTATTTAAGTGAGGTAGAGCATTGAGTTAATCTTAGAAAAATCAGAATTACTCCTCAATAAAACCTCTCTATAAGACACCCCCAAAATCAGATACACCTCTATTTAAGAAACTTTAAAAATTAAGTAGTCTACTAGGTGTAGGAAGCTTCCTAAGTGATACCCTCTATTTAACTAACACCTCATTATAAGGTACGAGTTTTATTATAAGATCCCCCGATATCAGATACACCTCTATTTAAGCGACGATTTAAAAATTAGGTAGTCTACTAGGTGTGGGAGCTTCCCAAACAATACCCTCTATTTAACATGCACCCATTATAGGGTAAGATTTTTTCAGCCCTAAGGGAGGAGCTGTATCCAACATCAGATATACCTCTATTTAAGAGACGATAATAAAATTTGGTAGTTTCCTAGGTGTGGTAGCTTCCTAAACAATACCCTCTATGTAACTAACACTCATTATAAGGTAAGACTTTTCAGCCCTAAGGGGTTATCTTATATGAGGTCTTGCTTTTTATTCATTATTTTCATTACAAATTAACAACGAATTTCTTCTCTCCCCTACTTCATTCGACTCTTCTTGGTCCTCCTCCTCTTCTTTAGAATCTACTTCCATAAGATCCCTGTCGTCATTTAAGCGTGGACGTCGTCTGGTAATAGCCGAACATTGCCCGTTAGAGAATGATGAATTGGAAATTAGTGTTGTGGCTGTTGTATTGAGTGAAAAGGTGCGAGAAGTATCACTAAAAAATTTTTAAAAAATTTGAAGTTGTAAAAAATTTTTTTGCGGACATCCGCAAAAATCTTGCGGATTGTCCGCAAATATTTTTGCGGACATTTCCTCAAATTTTCTAACCCTAATTTTGGTGCTCTTTGTTGTCCAGTTACTACACGGGAAGAATCCTTTGCCGCACTTATAGACTGCCGTTTTTGTTGTTGCCCTTCCTCACACATCATTAGACCTTCGCGAACACGTGATTCTCGTCGAATCATTGCTCGTCGTCGGCTACTGAAATAAAAATTGTTTTCTATTTTAAAGAAAAATTAATTTTAAATTTACTCTCGTTGTCCAGGAGCTAGCGGACCGAAAGGACTTCTTGAATGAGAAATTGATTCTTCTGTTGAATCGCCATGTCTGAGCAGACACCTTGCGGGTGCTGATCGGAAAACTAAATATCTAAGCTGGCGGCACTCGTCTCGAATGTTAAAAGAAAAGTAGCCATACTTGAAAAAAAATAAAAAATTTTTTGAAGAAGAATAATTTTTTGTCCGCAAATATTTTTGCGGACAATAATTGCGGACAAACTCAAAAAATATTTTTTAATTATAAAAATTAATATTTACCAGATAAGGAGAAATGGCAGAATTAAAACTTAAAATTTAAAAAAATTAAAAAAAAATTATTAAAAAATATAAAAATTACACAGCAAAGGCATATAAAAATTTGCTGAGCAATGGAGAAATTGGACGAGCTTCTGTTTGAACTCGAAGGAAGTGAATAAACATGGCTATTGTATAAGGCGTCCAACAAAGAAGAAAAGCTAATACCAGAACAAGAGTCATTTTAAGCTGAAAAAATAAAGATTAAAAATACATTTAGATATTTAAATTAATTGAGAGGAAAACACAAAATGAACAAAAATACAGAAAAACACAAGTGTTTTGTTTTGTATTTTTTTTCTGAATTTTTAGTTATAATTTGTGTTTTAGTTGTATTTTTATGTTCTGATTTTCTGTGTTTTTTTGTATTTTAAAATTCTGATTTTTGTATTTTTGATGTATTTTATGTTCTGATTTTCTGTATTTTTTTGTATTTTTTGTTCTGATATTTTATGTTTTGATGTATTTTGTTTGTATTTTAAAATTCTGATTTTTGTATTCTCTTTTAATATTTTTTGTATTTCACTTATTAAAATAATAAACTGACAGTTTTGCTTTTAGCCCTCTCATACGAATCGCCTCCACCCGTTCGCCTTAATCCATTGTTCATATTTGTTGCTGCAACACTTGGTCTCTTACTCCAATTAATATTATTATTATTTTCCCCTCCCGTTGTTCCATAATATTTTGGTTGTGTTTTGCTAAAATACAAAGAAGCTGGGACTGTCGCCAAACTGCTGGTACGTCGCCAACGAGCCGAACGACCTTTAAAAAAATTTTTTCAGAATTTTTTTTCAGAATAAAATTTTTTTACCAGCAGCCAATTGTTGATGAATTTCATGTCCACGTAATAAAGCCAATTTAGTAATATTTCTTTGCTCTTTAGGAGGTTGTTCTGGTTCTGAAGCTACTTTTGTGTCTTTACTTTTTAATGAAATTGAAACAAGAATAGATCCATAACAAAATAAAATAACAAACAAGGGAATAAAATAAACCTAAAATTTAGAGAAAAAATTTTGTAATTTTTTTTAAATTTAAATGAATTTTTGCTAGCGTAATAAGCAATATAACCAACAACTGCGATATACTGATGTTTTTCTAATTATCAGAACCTTATAAAAACCAGAATATTATAAAAACATGTATTTTACAGAAAACCAGAATTTTATAGAAATCAGAATTCTATAAAAACATAATTAAAAAATCAGAAATTTATAAAAACCAGAATTTTTAAAAATACCAGAATTTTATATAAGCCAGAATCTAATAAAAACATTTGTTTTATAAAAATCAGAATTTAAGAAAAACACAGAATTTAAAAAAAAATACAAAAACCAGAATTTCACTAAAAATACAAAATAATTCAGAATTAGGGGTAAAATACAAAAATACATTTTTGTATTTTATGTATTTCTTTAATTCTGATTTTTATTTTAATAAAATTGTTTAATTAAAAATATCAAAAAACTACTTGAACAATATTTAAAACAGAAAACCAATAAATAACATTTGGGGATAATAATCCAATTATATCAGCAGATACACATTGCTAATTAAATAAAAGAATATTTTTAATTTAAATAATTTATTTATTTAACTGTAAATTCAGTAAAACATGGATGTTTGGCTGTTCGAAATATATAAACTTGAGGTAAACTGGATAAAGCAGCAACAAGCCTAACAAAAAAAATTGAGAAAAAATTTCTTTTAAAATATTATTTTACTATTTTAAAAACAAAAATTTTACGGAAAATTTATGTGGAGAAAATTTTGTGGAGAAAAATTTTTGTCCGCAAATTTTTTGCGGACATCCGCAAATTTTTTGCGGACGTCCGCAAGTTTTTTGCGGACAAAAAAAATTTTTTTGGTTTTTGGTCAAATGGCATTTTATAAAATTTATTCGAGTTTATCATTTTATCTTTTATCATTTAATCAGTAAAATAAATTATTTATTAAAAAATCACCAAGCAGCAATAACCATCCTTTGAACACTCCTTTTAGCATTAATTACATAAAGTGGGAAAAGTATGGAATAAAAACGATCAAGGCTTAGACAGACTAAAATGCCCGCAGACAAGGCAACACCAAAAACGTCTGAAAAAATATTTTTTTATAATTTTCAGAATTAACTTACCAAAAAATTTGCATAATCTGCAGAGTAAATCCCCTCCTAGCCAAGCTATAGTTAAATTATGAACAATTTCTTTTGGTATATAAACCTGTGTGTTAAATTAAATGTTTAATTTGAAAATTTAATTAAAATTTAATTTAAAAAATAAAATTTTTGCGGACAACGTTCGCGGATAAATTTTTTTTTGTCCGCAAAAATTTTTGCTTAAAAAAATTTAAATACCCTACCAAGGTAACAAGTAATTGGGCAACTGTCATATGCAAAAGAAGTGAATGTACACGCCTTCTTTTAATACACTGATTTCTTTAAATTTAAAAATAAATATATTTTAAAAATAAATTTTAAATAGAAAAATAAAATTTGCGGACAAAAAATTGTGTCCGCAAATTTTTTTGCGGACAAATTTTAAATTGGTAAATGTCTATTGGTAAAATGTAGGTAAATGCTATTGGTAAATGTCCGCAAACATTGTCCGCAAAAAAATTTTTTGCGGATTATCCAAAAATTTTTTATTAAAAAATTACCTAAATAAAATTAGAAACATAAACCCATTTCCAATTAATGATAAAACAAAAACAGCACTTTAAAAAATAATTTTGAAATAAAATTTAAAAAATTTTTTAATTTACGAATAACAAATAGCAACAGATCCATTATGACTCCAACGAAAGCGCATAGTAGGAGGAAGTTCTATTATAGAAGAACAATTCATTTTATTTTTGATTAAATTAGAGAATAATTAATTCATTAAATAATTAAATTAATAAGAAAGGTCTGAATTAATAGAAAAAATTAATTAAAAAAGTTGCGGACAAAAAAACTTTTGCGGACAAAATTTGCGGACAAAAAATTTTTTTTGCGGAAAAAAATTTTTGCGGACATTTTTTGCGGACACAAATTTTTTTCAATAAATCGATTAAATGTCAGTTTAAATATGCCATTCTTATCACTGTCTCAGCTTTTCAAAAAAATTTTTGAAGTCAGAAAGGTATACGTAGATAGAAGGATAGTGTTGGATATGCCTTAAAGAAAAATCCGTATTTTGGTCTAAAAATTTTTTTGAAAAATTTTTTTAATTAATTTAAATTCTCCATACTTTAAAGAGTTAGAATCAAAAAACCTGACGGAAAACAATTTTTTAGAGGGTAGATATGAATTTTTGAAAATTGGTGATTTTGGGAGATAAGGATAGTGTTGGATATACCTTAAAGAAAAATCCGTATTTTGGTCCTAAAAATTTTTCAGAAAAAATCTATTAATTAATTTTAATTCTCCATACTTTTAAAAACTAGAATCAAAAAAACAAACTTGAAAAATAATTTTTTAGGAGGGAGATATGAATTTTTGAAAATTGGTAATTTTAGCAGTTTATTCAATTTTTAAGGGGGAAAATAAAAAATAATTTTTCCCTTTTTTAAATAAATATTATTTTTAAACCCACGCTTGAATAATAAAAAAATAAAAATAATAAAAATGAGTAGTCAATAAAATGAGGATATTTTACTAAAAAGGGTTAGAAAATGAAAAAGGAAGCAAAAAAAGTTTTTTGAAAAAAAAGAAAAAAATTTTTCCCGAGTGGTTTATGATATATTTAAATAAATTATTTATTTAAAAATGAAAAGAATGATTAAATGCATATAATATTTATTTAATTAATTAATGACCAATAAATTAAAAATGTAGCAATTTTATTCCCATAGTGAAATTTTTCTAAGAAAAAAAATGAAAAAATCTGTCAAATTAAAAATTTAGAGGTTAAAAACCTCATTGACGGAGAGAAAACCTCAGATCTCATTAGCCTTTAGGACTGAAAAAATTGTCTCCTATAATAAAGGGTGCCTTAAATAGAGGGTATCGTTTTTAGGAAGCTTTCCCACCCAATAGCCCACCCAATTTTAAAAAAATGTATTTTAAATAGAGGTGTGTCTTATAGCAAGAGTTTCTTATATAGAGGTTTAACCATATGATGGGGGTCTCTTAAATAGAAGGTATCGTTTTTAGAAAGCTTTCTCACCCAATAGCCAAACCAATGTTTTAAAAACGTCTATTAAATATAAAATATTTCTTATAGCGAGAGTTTCTTATAAAGAGGTTTAAACATATGAGTCTCTTAAATAGAGGGTATCGCTTAGGAAGCTTCCCCATACAATAGCCAACCAAATTTAAAAAACGTCCTTTAAATAGAGGGTATCGCTTAGAAAGCTTCTCTACCCAATGGCAAATCTCATTTAAAAAATGCCCTTTAAATAGAGATGTGTCTTATATTGGGGATATCCTAAAAAGAGGTTTAACCTATGATGAGGAGTCTCTTAAATAGAGGGTATCGTTTTTAGGAAGCTCCCTCACACAATAGTCAACACTATTTTAGAAATGTCTATTAGATAGAGATGTGTCTCTAGTATTGGGGGTATCCTAAAAAGAGGGTTTTCCTCGAAATTTTTTCCTATTTTAGTTAAAACATCATTCAACACAACAACATTTTTTATTTTGAATAATTTGAGCTTAAAAAATAATGCAAATGTGTATGTGTGTTTCTCGAAATTCGAGTCCACCAACCAACCAACCAACTTTTCATCTCCCTCATTTCATTGAATAAATATATTAAAAGAAAATGAGCATTTATAAATAAAATATGAATAAATATATGAGTGTTTCCAATAAATTGTCAAGTTTCCCTCAAAAAAAGGAAAAAAATTTACTCAATAAAAGTGAAATGACCCTTATTAGGCTTAAAATGGAGACTTGAAGTGGATTAAAGTTGAACAAAAAATTATTAGAAGGGGAGGGATTAGCGATTAATTAATGTTTCGATGTCTTGAAGGAGAGGCTGTGCGTCAAAATTTTCGCATGGAATGGCAAACGCAATGACGCTCAGCCCTGATGAATGGCTCCATTTAACCTCTTCGTATGTGGCGGGGATCTTATCAGGGCGGGATTATTTCGCATCTTTCGCATTTCGATTTTTTAGCGCTAAAAGTTTCGCATTTATTTTTTAATTTTGCCCAGCCCTGCTTCTTATGGTGAGGGTATACCTATCTCAAAATAGAGGGTATGCTTGTAGTCTTGAAGAAAGTGTCTTATATTGAGGAGATGTATGTTAAATAGAGGTGTAATTTTAATAAAGTCTTTTAATAGCGTATCTTACATAGAAGTGTATCTAGTATAGAGACCGGCGCTGGACGGGATTCCGCTCCGCACTATTTTCGATCTGCGGGATTTTGCGGGATTTATCCCGCGGGATCCCGTCCCGCAAAGGTTTTTAAAAGAAATCCCGCATGTGGGATCCCGCAAACACGATTTTGCCGGTCTCTAATCTAGTATTGGGTGTATCTTACAAAGAGGTGTGGCTATTAATGTCCATTAAAGAGGTGTGATTGTTGCGGACAATATTTGCGGACAATTCCTCTGTAAGAGCAATAATCCGCAAAAAATGCCCGCGAAAAATGCTACTTTAATAAAATTTTTATATAAAAGTTTAACAGAAAAATGTATATTAAGGACAACAAACGAAATAAAAAAATTTTTTTTCTTCTCAAAAAAACATTTTTTTCTTCATCATAAAACTAAACAAAATAATTTTTTCATCCTTAATCTCCAAAGAGGTCTGTGTCAAATATTTTAGTAGATTATTCGATTTGGCTTTTAATATCTTTTAAAAGAAGGGGGAAAATGCTTGCGACAAAAAAAAATTTTTTTTTGTTATTTTAAAAAGGAAAAAAATAAAATTAAATATAAAAATGTATAACAAAGGAAAGGCAAAAAAAGGAGTAAGAAAATTTTTAAAAAAATTTTTTCCCTTTGTTTCATGTAAAAAATTAATAATAAGAATTTAATTTATATTATATCTCCTTTATTAATATAAAATTGTATTAGAACCAAACCTCGATATAATTGACCAGCAATTTAACAGCCTACTAGAGATTGGCCTGGGGCTGGACCAAGGCCTGGGTTTTCCTGTACCCAGAGTCCCGACCTAGGCAGTTTTTGAACTTCCTGGGGTTTTCATGGTCCTGGGGGTTGCCCAAGATCCGGGCCAGTTCAATAAATCAAACCCAGTTCTACAAGGAACTTTTCTGTTTTCAAAGATTCGGGGAAATCCATGGATATCCGGTCAGTGAATTTTTGGATACTCGGCCGGAATCGAATAAGAAAATCCTGACCGAGATTTTAAACATTCAACGTCTTTTTCTCTTCTTACAAGTTTCAGCTTGTACGTCATCTTTCGTGTTGGAACATGTATGAAGAGAAGGAAATGTTTGAGGTATGGTTGGGGGATCTGGATATCCAAAAAATTTTGGTCAGATTTCCGGATTCCCAAGATCCGCCAACCTTAGCTGGAGGGGACGTTCCTTAGTTGGAAGGGACGTTCCAGATATTTAAGAGAGAAAGGGAAGGTAAACAAACAAAATATCCAGGTTGTTTATATCTATTGTTTTAAATAACAAAATTGAGGAAATAAATTTTTTTTTATTTTTAAAGAGGGAAGGAAAGGGAGAGAATTTAAGAGTCGAAACGATTTTTGCCGTTTTGACTTTTTTTTCTAATTTTTCCTCAAAAAATATTTGAGGGGCACACTTTCTTATTTAAATTGGATTTGTGTTCCTAGCATTTCAAAGAAATAATGAAAACAAGAAAAAAAGGAAAAATATTTTAAAAAGGGATATATTTTAATAAATATTTTATGAATTTTTATATTTTTAGTAGGGAGAATTTAAGGAAGGAGTAGGGAGAAAAAATTTTGTATGTATTTTTCTAAAGTTGGTTAGTCCAACATTGTGGGTAAAGTTTAGAGTTTCACCACAAGTTCGTTCCGGAAAGTTCCGGCGTTTTTTTTTGTTCCGGTTCCGGTCAAAATTTCGGTTCCGGTGAAACACTAGTAAACTTCTAATAACTGGGGATGTTGATACAAGATTGCTGAACAACATTCCCCGTTGTTTTACTCAAGGTGCAACAACAGTTGTTGGCAACATCCTTCTCGTTGTAACAAACAAAAAACATCCCTTGCGCCCTTATGACTCCAATGCATATTTTTCTCCAGACATGGTCATGGATATGGATAATATCCAGATACGGACAGATACTGTTTTCTAAAAAATCGGACTGGAGATACGGATACGGATATGATGCTCCAAATCCGAGGATACCCACAGAAGGATATGCCTCAAAAGTTGCACGAATATATCCCGATACGGACATCAAAATTCGTGTCCATGGCCATGCCTGATTTTCTCTTTGGCCTGTGCTCTGTCGGACTGTATTTTGTCTGGACTGTATTTTGGCCTGAACATAAACTCCACCTATTTTTAGATTTGTGCCCCCCTTCAATTATAAGCCAAATTATTAAAAAAACATGTTTTGCCCCATTATATCATTATTTACTCAATTATAATTGCCTTTCTTCACCTAATAAACCCTCTTCCTCTTTGTTACTCACTTTATTCCCTCATTATTCCTCCTCTAAGCATTGTTAACCTTCCCTTTACAATAACCCCTCAATTATTTTATTTGCGTCTAAATGGGGTATAAAAGACGGCGAATAGATGGGGCAAAAATAGTATGGCCATAATTGTGTCTAGCCTTTCTTTTCCTTTTTCTCTTTATTGCACGCAATTTTATAATTTTATTTTATTTCTCACGCAATATTTAAAATGTCCAGATTGTAAAATGCCCAACGGGGATCTTCTTCTTTCTCATTCTTATAATCAAGAATTTTGAAGGAGCAAGACTGACCCAAAACCATTTTAGGAAAAAAATTTCAAGACTCTATGTACCTTTTAGTTTACAGCTAGGGTTGTCTAAAGAGACTCCCTTTATAAGCGACTCCTACCCTGTGGACATTTTAGTAGGCATTTTGTCGTTTGTATCTCCCCTTTTGTATATTTCTCCCTTATGGGCATTTTACTACGTGGGCGTTTTGTCGCCTATTTGGTTAGTGGGCGTTTTGTCGTTCGCTTTTTCTTCCCTTTTGTATTCTTCCGCATGGACATTTTGCAGTGTAGGCGTTTTGTCGTCGGCTTTTTCCCCTTTACTGTTTGCCTGTCTGTCATCTTCCCTTTTTTACTCTCGCGCTTTTCAAACGTAAAATATTATAAAATTTACTTCTTTTATTTACTCTTTTCTCTCTATACGTTTGTGTGTACGCGTTTTATTGCTTTTATATGTACCAGTCGTTAAAAGAAAAAATTTTTTTTTTATTTTCATTCGTTCATGTTCACTGAACATCTTTTTACTATATAATTTGTGGGTACAAACCAGACTGTCTTTTTAAAAAAATTTTTTTGAAAATTTCTTTGTTTAAAAAAATCAATTTAATTTAATAATTAATTGTCTGAAATTTTGTATTTTTTCGTGTCTCCATATTTCAACAATAAGGCTAAAACCCTTTGCAACGAAGCCCTATTGGCAAAATGTTATTTTTAGCCTTATTGGCAAAATGTCATTTTTTAGCCTTATTGGCAAAATGTCATTTTTTAGACTTATTGGCAAAATGTCATTTTTTAGCCTTATTGGCAAAATGTCATTTTTTAGACTTATTGGCAAAATGTCATTTTTAGCCTTATTGGCAAAATGTCATTTTTTAGCCTTATTGGCAAAATGTCATTTTTAGCCTTATTGGCAAAATATGGAAGAGGTGTATTTCTGTATTTTTTATTCACTAATTTATTAATTTAATTAATTCAGTTGTTAGTGTAGTGGTTAACACCCCGGACTTGTTATTTTCTGGGGTACCGGGTTCGATGCCTACTGGCCGGGAGTGGTTATGTTTTTGTTTTTATATAGTCCCTGAACCGTGTAGGACCTTTAAAATCTTCAAAAAATTTTTTTTATTTTTTTTCTAACTCAAAATATTTTTTCCCTAAAAAATTTCCCTTCGTAATTAAGTGTGACTGCGCAACGACCTATAATGCTTTTAAGTATTTTTGAAAATAATAAAGAGAAAATTGGGGTTGTTGAAAGCAGGATTGATTGCTTATTTGTCTTTAAGTGTTTCTTCTTTTTTTTAATTATTTTTCTTTTTTTTTCGTGACCTTGAGAGAGGATATTTTACAAAAATAATGCTTTATTTATTTTAATATTTTCATGCCTCAGGCAATATATTTAAGTAAGTGGGGGTGTCATTTATGTGTTTATGTACAGCCAGGCACACATTAGCAGCTAGTATTATATTACACCTGCTTAACACTTTTCATAAAATTATTTTTATAAATACATGAAAAAAGTCCGCAGCGTCCGCAAATTTTTTTGCGGACAATCCGTAAATTTTTTGCGGACTTTTTTGCGGACATATTTTAAGCCAAATTTTTTGCGGACTTTTTTAAAATCCGCAGATTTTTTGCGGACATTTTTTAAAATCCGCAGATTTTTTGCGGACATTTTTTAAAATCCGCAGATTTTTTGCGGACTTTTTTTTTTGTGAAATTACCCCTTTATAATACTATTTTAATTTATTTTTATATTTATTTTTAATATTTTTCCTTCCATTTTCCCTTCAAATAATTCTACAAAGAAGGAAATCTATAACTAAAAATGTGTCTTTTTTGTTTACTTTAACAGCAAATGTTTTAAAAATAAATTTTTTTCTTTTTTTAAATATTTTTAGCTTTTCATTTTACTTTTTTCAGCAAACTTTTTTTGTTTATTTTTTTTAAAAATTGTGTTGCTTTTTTTAATTTTTTGAATAAACAAAATCTCTATATAACGACACCCTCTCGCCTAATTTTTCTGACGTAGGAGGGAGAGTTTAGGAAAAGTTTTTAGTCACCGGACAGGATTCGAATCTGTGACCGCCTGACAGTTGTTGCTAGGCGCTTCGCTCACCATATACAGGAGCTACCGGGCTCAGCACCCAAATTTTGCTGTCGTAAGAAGGAAAGGAGTCGTAAGAAGGAGAGGAGCTGAGCTATCGGGCTCAGCTCCTGGATGTGGTGAACTACCGGGGCATCGAACCCCCGCCTGAGTGTTTTGAATGGTGCTAGGTGAATCCTCCTTCCTTCCTCCTTACAGTAGGAAGGAAAGTCGTAAGAGGGAGAGGGGGTTGCTCGGTTAGGTAACCACCACCCGACGGTTTTTACCGGTAAAATAAGACGGTCGCCATGACCTTTTGGTTAGGTGACCTTACGACGGTGGTTTTCTTAGTTTACCGGTTTACAATGACCTTGTGGTTATCTAACGATGGTTAGGTGGCCATGGACCATCGCCAGGTGACCGAGTTCTTATTTTACGGCCCCTGGGGTCCTGCCACCCCAGGGCTCCCCGAAAATCGGCAATTTGTTTTTTTGTCGGCAGGATCCCTGATACACCCTCTTAATCCTTAAGGGTGTCGAGATATTACTTTATTTTTATTTTATTATTAGTTCCTTCTTGTGTCATCTTTTTTTTCTTATAAAAATGATGAGGAATATGTGACATTTATTTTTTCCCTCATTTTCAAAAAAAATTTTCCTCATCATTTTAGTATACATATAATTTTACTATTTTTAAGTGTTCTCGTCTAAAAATATTTTTTTCTAAAAAGCCAAAGACTAAAATAGTAAAAATTATCTTCTTTTTTTAAATAAAATTCTTTTTGGGATTTTCTGGAGAAAAGTCAAAGATTGGAAGGAATTTGTAGTTTTTTTATTTTCCTAATTTGGGTTTTTGAGGGAAGAATTTTTACTAATTTATTTAATTTAAGCATTTATCTATTATATAAGCTTATTTAGCATTAATGGTCAGGGCGTACCGTCTACGGCCGTTTTTTCCTTTATTTATTGGTATTCCGTATTGGTTTTTTCTCGATCACATTGTCAGTCAGTAACCGAGTTCCCGAGAAATTTTCTGTTTTTGTGTTCTTCATTTAGGTTACTGATATCCGAAAGAGATTTTTCCAGTCCGACAACCTACTCTTCTTTTTATACGTCAGATTCCACTCTCACTGGGACTTCAGCTTTTTTAGAATCGGATTTAATTTAGACGTCACCCTCTCTTTAATATTTGTTTTAGAGGCGTCTCTAATATTTGTTTTTCTATAGAGTTGGCCGGGATCGGGATCCCGGTCGGGATCGGGCGGGATTATCCCGGGTTTTTCAAATCCCGATCCCGATTTTTCTGATCCCGCTCCCGAAATAAATATCCCGATCCCGGCCAATTTCAATCCCGATACCGGCCAACTCTATTTTTCTAGAGGTGACGTAAAATTGAGATTCGACCTCTTAAAAATCTGACGTTTAAGTAGGAATGAGTAGGAATGACGTATAAACGAGAGCTTCTCATTTTTAAAAATTTTATTGATTGAATTTTTCACTTGTTTTTAATTAAATTTGTGTCAAGTTTTAAAGTCCAAAGTTTGCCTGCCTTTCTTTAAAAATTACCCCAAAAATTTTGTTTTTTCTTTTGTCTTGTAAATATTTTTTGTTTTTTTTCTTTTGTTGTTTATTGTCTCTAATTTTATTGTTCTTTTATATTTTAAATTTTTTTCTATTCCTTCTACAAAGAGAACAACCCTTTAAATGTTTAGGGCAACACAAAGTTGGGGTCAAATCCTGAGACTTTTACTAAGTCTTGAGAGAAAATTTTATTTCAGAAAACACAGCAAGGATGTGATCTCTTCCGTATTCCACAGATTGACCTTTCCACTTCCATCTTCCACTTTCTTAACATTTCTTTTTACGCTAGTCCCTTGAAAGAGGTGACTTGCATAAAGATATGCCAGTCCACTTTATTGGAATTAATTTATTTTATTTTTATTTTTTTTAAAATTATTTTTTAGATGGTCTAAAGTCTGTCTACTTTTCTCTCTTTAATCACTAAATAATATTTTTTTATTTCCCCAAAAATTTTTTTTTCTCAGTTAAAGAAAGGAGGATATGTATAATAATATTTGGGGGAAATCAGGCGTTTAATTTTCTTAGAAAAAAATTTTCTTATTTTTCCAAATGGGATAACATTTCTTAGAAAAGAGAAACAGTTGGCTATCCTTAAGAAATTTTTATTTTTGAAAAACAATCCAAATTCCTCCATTTTTATTATCAAAACAATATTGTTTAATCCTTGTGGGACAAAACACCTTCCAGACAATTTACCGTCTAGACAATTTACAGACAAAAATCTCGTTATAAGAGACATCCAAAACCTCTATTTAAGGAACGCTTTTTTGGTTGGTTAGCCATTGGGGATCTGTCTAAGAGATACCCTCTATTTAAGAGACGCCTCATTATAAGATAAGATTATTTTTGTTAGACGGTAAATTGTCTGGAAAGTATTTTGTCGCTTAAGTTATTAAAATAAATCCTCTATTTTATCAAAATAATTTTTTCTTTTTTTTTTGCAAAGAAAATCCAAAAATAATTTTAAAAAATTATTTTCTATTTATTTTTGCATCATCTGATATTTTTTTAAATTTATCTTTGATGATCATTTAATTATAATTAATTAATCTTTTTTTATCTGATCATTTTACTGATCACCACACACAAATCTTTTGACTGAAAAAGATTTTCTAAAGCTTTTAATATTTCTTTTAAAAATTGCTTTACGTGTATAGCACGGGATTTTTAATTTGCTAACACGGGTTTTGAGAAAAAAATTTTTTATTTTTAAATAAATTATTTAATATTAAGTAAAAATTTTTTTTTCAGATTTTTTTTTCATTTTTATTTTTTTTTCTTCAACTGAAAATTAAAAGAAAAATGCCTTTTATTGGGAAAGATTGGAGAGCACCCGGTAAATAAAAAAAATTTTTAAATTTTTTTAAAATTTATTTTTAAAGGAGATCTATGGGTACGTGTTAATCATGTCAACCATACTGCTGGATGGGAATTGATTAAATTACGTCCTATACAGGCAAATATATTTTTTTAATATTTTAATTTGGATCCTCTAACAATTTCGGAAAAAAATTTTTTGTCCGCAAAAAATTTGCGGACTGTCCGTAAATTTTTAAATTTTGTCCGCAAATCCAAAAATTCTATAAAAATTATTTTTCAGTTAGATTTATTGCCCAAAAGAGAAAATAGCTCAAATTCTCTCAATTCTGAAAATTCTGTCGATTCTCCACCATCTTCTGCTGAGGAAGAAATTGAAGGGGAATTAAACACTAATTTAAGACAAAAAAGCGAAGAAGAAGAAAATGATTTTTCTTTGAACGAGGCTGATATTTTGGAAGGGGAAACAACTAATGAATTAATTAATAACGG